TCCATACATCGTGCCCCAAAAAACATAGAAAACGGAGGAGTAGTGTCCCCCATCCGGGCCCTTCGGGGTTGGAGAGGGATTCTGCGACCTCCTGTCGCAAAACTTGGTATGCCACAGACCCACGCTGTAAACGGACATGGTTCCAAAACCTCACAACCTGCTTGAGAACGTGGTAGTGTAGGGGTAGCTGCGATAGCTCTGCGAACAAGAGGCGGTGTGTTGGTCTGGCAGCTCCTACAATTTGCCGCATGAAAGATATCTGAAGCTGCACTGCCCTGTCCTTTAGGCACGCCTCGAAGGGCCCCTCTGCAAGGTTATTCGCATCACTCCGCTTCCTGAGCCTGTCCAAGACCTCAGCTAGCATAAACGGCCCCCACACTTGACAACCATACAACAGTATTGCTCGTACCTGCGTATCGAAACACCTCATCCTCACATCTGGGGCGAACAACTTCAGCTTATCTAATTTTGCACTCAACGCGAACATAGCTGCTCTAGCTGTGTCATACAACTGCTGGCGGCAGGCCCAGAACTGCCGTTCCGGCCCATACACTAACCCCAGATATCGCGCACTATCCTTAGCCGGTATGGCCTCTCCAGCCAGCCTGAGTTCATCACACGATGCTTGGACAGCACTTCTAATGTTGCTGTCACTCGCAAAAACGAGGCGTTCACATTTCGACACATTTGGGCGCATCCCAAAATCGTCACAGAACATATTTATTCATATAGAATATGTTATATTGCGAAACAGAACGTGCAAACCTGACGTCCAGGGTGAGAATTTTTAATAGGGTCGCTAACAAACGTCCACGTGGAGACACCCTGTTAGTGTGCGGCCAAGTGGAAACACCCTGTAACATATTAACTTTCTATCTTGCCCCGCTTTAAATTGCGTCTGAAAGCTATTCTAATTCTCTATTGATAGACCAAGGGAATAAACTCAGATATATCTGCGGCCGAAGATAGCGTTCCAGGGTGACATCAATTTACATATCTCACTCCGCTAAAGATTGCATGTAAAAGCTACTTCAATTCTTTATCGATTGGCTAAAGGAAAACATTTAGATACATCGGAGCGCAAAGATAGCTTTCCATGGCTTCGAGTTTGACTTCCCCTCACACCGCAGCCCTTGCCTCTGACGTCGTTGCATGTCCCTTAAATTATAGTCACAAGCAAACGGCATGATTCTTTATGGGTTGGTTCCTTCATGGGTTGGTTCCTTCATGCTCTGCAACTTTAGACCGACCCATGGCAACGCTCTAAGCACCTCCCTCCTGGCGTCTCGCTCGTGCCTGTTTGATTTTTGTCCTTCTTATCCTCTTCTTCATTGATTCAATCCAAGTCCAAACGAAGCGTGCCTTTGCGACACACCATCAGCTTTACCGCTACGGTCCGACTTCAAAATGTGCATCCCTGAATGCGTTCTGGCTGGGAGGGGACAATAATTGGTCCATGAGCGCGGGCACTTTGCCGCGCCTTGGACTGCCAGCCAGTAGACCGAATGCAACGGTAGTACCACCTACGTATCGGGCAGTCCCGACTCATGGATTTGGCGCAGCAGCGGCAACACATGTTGCCGCAATGACACTCCTGCTTTGTATTTATGTCATTCTACGGATTGCCGCATCACGAGAAGGCTAACTGTTCAGTAAATAATGATTATGCTATGGCGGCTGCGTGCTTGCGACGATCCAAACAGGTCTACGCCGCCGTAACAAGTCTGCCGACCCTTTATTGTTTGAGAATTTCAATGACAAGTGTGTACTCCAAACGTGGCGGCGTTCTTGTGCTTGCATTCCTATGCCGTACGGACTGCCTTGCGAATCAAACGGGGGTCAAGTGACTGCACCGGGGCCGAGCCCCTTTTCGGCTTTGAAAAGCCGCCCCCCTAGTCATGTTTGCGTTCGCTCTTCGTAGCAAGTGAAGGACGCCCCGCCCCGCCGCCCCCCAAATCCAAGCAACTCGCATCTCAAGCGTCCAAGTACAAACCCCAAGCCGCCTCAAACCGCGCGCATGCACAACGCGCAAGTATGCTCACACAAAATGCAAAAACGCCGTAGCAAGATTAAGGCATCGGTGCATTTTTTTCTCAGATCCCCTGCAACAATGAATACCTTCTCGTATGTGTATAACAACGGTTATGAAAGCAACGATCCACAGCAGCTTCAATCCAGCTCCATGGCAAGGTCTCTTCGAAGTCGTGGCTGCAACATCACCGTCGACTCCAGCTCCCAAGCAGCAGCTTTACCAGACACCAACGTAGATGCAGCAGCAGGAGCCGCGGCAGCTTCACCACCACCACAGCAGCCTGGCGAAGCCGCCACACCCCCTTCCCCCATCCCTACGGCCTCCGCCTCCTCCGCCCCCGGATCCGCCTTAGTCACCTCTAACACCTCCCGGCGTGTGTGCAGCTCTCGCCACCTGCGCTCATTCTCCGTCAGTGCCGGCAACCCCTCCGCCCCCCCCTCCTCACTCGCCGCCATCTCCTCCGCTGTCGCCCTCTCCCCGTCCCTTACGTGCTGCCGCTGCGCTGACGTGTCATCGTCAACCAAGTCCCACCGGGCCTCACCCGTGCCCTCCGCCGTGCTTGCTGCTGTGGTCGCCGCGACCCCCAACTCCGACTCCGTCGTCGCAACCGCTACCGCCGCCGCTGCTGGGTCAGCCGGGGAAGGTGCTTCCGCCGCGGGGGCCGTTGCCATTTCAGGAGAAGCCGCCACCGCCGCCGCCGCCGCCGGCGGCGGTGCCGCCAACTCAGAATCCTGTGTCAAGGCATTTTCGGCAGCTGCGGCCCCATTCGCCGGCAACGACGCCGGCAACTCTCGCACCGCCGCCGCGGCGGTGGCGGCGCCTGGGGCCCGTAGCGGCACCGCCGGCAGAGGCGGCGGTACGACAGGCAACGTAATTTCCAACTGCTTGCGCGCCTTGTCGAATTTCGCCTTCCCCTTGCTCTCGTCCACTTTGTACGGCAGCGCCACATCCAAGCAGTACCGGCCAGGGACCTGCCGTATGCGAACACATGCGGGGTTTGGTTTAGTGTTGATTACAGGGATGAGGGCGTAGATATAGTCACAATTTAGTATTTTTTAAAATGAACTGCGCCGCGAGGAGTACATACAGGTTGAAGTATATGTATGTAACATGTATACATATAATTGGATTAGGGTGAATGGATTAGGGTGCCCCTCCCGCAGGGGAGGGCAGGGAGCTGCCTCTAAGGGAAATTGGGCTGCTGGTGAAGCTACACCACCCTGTAACAACATACATACATGTATACATGTATGCAGTTTGTGCAGAGATGGCAGGTCGAGGAAAAGCGAAAAGAAAGGAATGACAAAACCTGAAACTGGCTGTATGAGTCATGGTCAACAAAAAGCCATCAAGGTTGACCGTACGAGAGGGTTGGAACCTTCCATCCACCCCGCTATTGCTAACCCGCCCCGCCCACCCCCCTAATTTTCATCACTGCTATAGACCACCACCACCGCCCACCTTGAGCGTCAGTCGGCGCTCCCCCACGTCCACATCCACAGCCGCAGCGGAGGACACCAGGGGCAGCGTCACCCGAACCAACAGCTCCTGTAGGCGGATGGGGAGGGGGTGGAGTCACACATGCATTATAAGAAGCAACAGGGGGTGGGGGTGGGGTGGGGGGGGTGGGGGGGGGTGCACCGAAGGAATGCGAGCTGGGGCCCGCGGGGGGCAGTGGTGGTGATGGTGGTGGCGGTGGTGAGGGTGGATTTATATGATAGTGGTGGATGTCAGGGTATACTACACACGCGCGTCCCCATACCCGTATCCCCCGCCCCGCCCCCTCCCGCGCTCCGGCATCCCCGCAGGGACCACTTGCCCGGGTCGGTCGGTCGCTCACCCACTGCCGTTTCGCTCCCCCTTCGTCTTCGGCCTAACCCCTAAGACCCCTAAACCCCCCCCTTCGCTCCGCATCTGCCCCCCTCCTAGACATGCCATCCGATTCTTTCCCCTCCCTCCTCCCTCTCCACCCCCCATTCGCTTCCACCCGCTCAATCCCCTCCCCCCCTCCCCCCCCATAACCCACCTTGGGCACCTGGCTGTCCACCAGAAGTCCCCGGCCCGCATCCCCCCAGGCCTCCCCCAAATCTGCCGTACCCCGGTGTACGAGCACCCACTCCGGAGTACGGCACCCGTCAGAGTGGAGATAACCCGGCTGCCGGGGGTCCTGTTTGTGTATGTATGTGAATCGCGGACGGGTACGGCAGGGGCTCAGGAGAGGGGCCGGGGTAACCGGGGCTTGTCGTACATGCCATCATCATCATCATCTCTCTTGCCGACACTCTTTATCAACGGACGGACAGCAATGGTAACCGTGTGCGAACGGGCTGTCGTTCCCCGTCATTATCACTCTTTAAACGGACGGACAGCAATGTAACAAAAGCAGGGACAGCAAACAGCTAGGGAAAAGGTTTCCGGCCTCTGCCGAACCAGGACAGCAACTCCCCCGACTGCAATCTCTTCCTGCGACACGGCCCTCGCTTTCCCGGCCCAGGACCCCATTCCCGGCCCTCAATGCCAAACCGCTCCTCCTCCCCGCCCCAACCCCCATCCCCCCTATTTTCCCCCCATCCCAACTACCGCCACCCCCCTCCCCCACCATCACCACCACCACCTACCTCCACCCCACGCACCTCACCCTCCTCACCCTGCCCCAAAACCCAAACNCACACCCTCTCCTCCCACCTTCACCTCCTCCTCCTTCATCTCCACCACATCCCGCTTCCCCACCCCCCACTGTGCGCCTCCGCCTCCGTTCTGCTGCTGCTGCTGCGGCGGCGGCGGCGGCTGCCCTCCCCCCGACTTGGGTTTTCGGTCGAAGGAGAACGTGCTCCGGCTTGTTGCCGGGGCGGCGGCAGCGGCGCCTGCCGCAGGCGGCGGCGCCGCCGTGGCTCCCTTCACGTCCACGACCGCCGGCACATCCGATCGCGGCTTCAGTCTGCCGCCCACCGCCTCCCCCCCTTCCCCGGTTCGTATGCACTGCACGGGCGGCTCGGTGCAGCCCTCCGTGGCCTTGAAGCGGGTGTTGAGGCGGCGCCAGTTGCGGAGGAGGCGACTGCGGGAGACCTGCTCCACTTGGTCCAGGGCCTGGGGGGGGTGAGGTTGTGTATGGTGGAGGGAGTTGGATGGTGGGGGGGGAAGTGTGGGTGTGCGTGTGTATCTGTGTGTGTGTGCGTGCGTGTGTGTGTGTCTGTGTGTACCTTAAAAATACCTTAAAAAAAGCCGCAGTGTATGTGTGTGTGGGAGGGGGGAGGGGGAAAAGAGAGGTTGCTGTTTCTTCAGTGGGTTGGTTGGTGATTGCGTGCGTGTGTGCGGGGGTGCAGGTGGTGGTAGTCGACGTAGTGCTGTGCTTTGGGGTTGCTGAGTCGAAGAACGATTACCCCCACATATAAAACGATGTGTACACACACATCGTGTGTGTGTGTGGGGGGGGGATCTTGCACCCGGGTGGTGGTCGTGGTGGTGGCGGGGAGGTGGTGGTGGTGGTGGTGGTGGGAGACGAGGGCAGCACATGATGACATCCCTGTAGAAGGCAACATCTACGGCCAGTAAGTCCTCCCTAGCCAACACGTCACTACATCACCGACCGGCCCCGAAACCCTCCCCACTTCCCCGGCTCGTTCGACCATCACCCCAAACCCCCGGCTCTCATCCCTCAACCCCACTCCCAACCGCCAACCGCTCGCACCGTCTCCGCCAGGGAGGACATGACGGCGCTGCTCCGGGTCGCGAACTCCACCGTTTCCGGATGAACCACAATGTCGTACACGGCGGCGGGCTGACCTGGAAAGCGATAACCCAACAAAAAGACTTATGTTATGGGGTGCGGGCCAAATGAGCAGGGGCAGGAGCTAAGAGGGCGCTATGTGTGTGTATGTGTGTATGTGTTTGGGGGGAAGGGGGAGGGGTTGGATCCCGCTGGGCACTGGCGGGGAGAGATGCAGCCCTCACCATGACACCTCTCGACTGACAATCAGACAGACAGACAGACAGACAGATAGACTGGAATTGGCAGACCATGTCCTGTCTGCCACGTTGCGTCCCCCCCCCCCCAAGCCCCAGTTCCGGACGCAGCCCTAGCCCCAGCCGGGGGTCAGACCTGTCCCGTCGCAGCCCCCCCCCCGCCCCGCCCCGTGTTGCACCTTGGCGTGTGTCGCACCTTGTTTGTCCGTTCCAAGCCTCATAAGCCCCATAGTGATGGGGATGCTCAACTGCTGACCAGACCGCCCCGTGGCGTCAGTCGCTTGCTTGAGGGAGTAGCGGTCCACCTGGGGGGGGGAGCAGAGGGGGGATAGGGGGGAGATAGGGGGGAAGGGGAGGGGAGGGGAGGAAAAGCCATGATATGCGCGGACGCGTCAAGAAGAGATAAGGTCGCCCAACTGACGTCCACAACCCCAATTGCCTTAGAACTCCCAAAGCAGTAACACGACGGGCCCCAGGATTGCCATTCAGGACGGGGCAGGGTAGCGGGAGGGTTAGGGTTAGGGTTAGGGGCAGGAGGGAGGGGTTAGCAGGAGGGAGGGGAGTAGCTTAGGAAACCTGTTGACTTGGAAAGCAGACAGTGCAGGGAGTGGGAGAGAGGGGTAAAATCCGTCCGCAACGATGGTCATGCTGATGATGATTATGATGATGATAATATAACGATGTGAAATGCCCCAAATGAAAAGAACTTAATGCTGACACGTTCATAGCAAGGATGCAGCATCCGGGACGGTAGGGAGGTAGGGGGGTAGGGAGGTAGGGGGGTAGGGAGGTAGGGGGGTAGGGAGGTAGGGAGGTAGGGGGGTAGGGGGGTAGGGAGGTAGGGGGGTAGGGGGGTAGGGAGGTAGGGAGGTAGGGGGGTAGGGAGGTAGGGGGGTAGGGGGGTAGGGAGGAAGGGGGGTAGGGAGGTAGGGAGGTAAGTAGCCCTAGGGACATTTACCAACCAACTACACCACATCTTGAATGGTGTGGTATAACCCCCACGCGAGTGGGAGATAGCACGGGGGAAAGGATATAAGCAGTAGTAGGACAGTAGTAATGCCCAGCTGCGAGGGGTTGGATGAGAGGGGCGGAAGAAGATCACAGCACACTTCACGTGGCCACGACCCAGTATAGACTCAACCCCCCAACTCGTACGCTTTTCGTACATGACTTGGCCATTCACCTTTGACTGCGACCGCGTTACCTGCCACATGCGAGACATTGCTGACCTTTTCAAAATAAAATCTTCTGCGACCGATTTCTCTAAAACGATAGCTATAACCCTGAAAAAACTTCATTTTTATGATAATGCTTTTAGTATTAAAAAATATTCCTGAAAAACCTGTCTGCACAGCGCACACCTTTTCGCTGGTGCAAATATTGATGAAAACCTTCTGGCTCGGGGTCAAAGTGTCCCGCCGGCTATTGCCGGAGCCACCAGGTGCAGTGACACCGGCCTCTCCCGCCGCGTCCTTAGAGCCCAGGACCTTGGACTTAAGCACCATGGCGGGTTTGGGATTTATAAGCACAACACCTTTTCCGTACACGTCCTCCGCCCGGCCCTGCTCTTCAAGCTCCCGAAGGTACTGATCGGTCTCGGCCTTGACCTGCGAGGGCGGGAATTTTGGAGGAAGGGGAGAAGGCGGGGTGGGTCAGGGAGTGGGGGCAGGGGGAAGAATGGTTGTAGCAATCGGTATAGTTGCGTGCGTCAATGTTGATATATGTTGGGTGGTTGTTGTTGTTGGTGGTGGCCATAGTAGGCCGCACTTTGGCACGGCCTGCGCTTTAGGCTGGGCGCCTGCTGGTGCGGGCCGCCTGCTGACATGAGGCCTCCTGTCCATCACAGCAGCTTGCAGCGGGAATGATCCAAATCACTCAACAGCTTCCAAATGTATTTATCATCTGGCTTCTGCGGGTAAGATGCTGCTACTGCACTTCTGGAAAGCGTCCAGCCGTTCAGGTTCTATGGAGCTCGCCGGCCTTGGAGCCAGGATAAATGAGCGAGAGGAAACTTCTAAGCGGTGTCGCCTAACACGCGTTCAATTGCCTATCAAGTAGGATAATGCCAATGGAAAGCAGAACAGTTCTGTCCCGCGGCCCAGTGTTGTGGCACTGTGTACCATGGTTCCGGGACCAGCGACAAGCCTTGCCCTCGCTTACCTTGGGGTCAGAAACCTCCTTTGCATATTCCTCAAATAGCTTCAGAAATTCTGGATCCTTGAAAGCTTTCTCAAATTTGTTCAGTTCCTGGCGAGCAGTTGGGAAGGTGGATTATATGTCGCCGATACGCCATACTGTTCTAATGGCTGGTGAACCTAACCTCGTTTGTAAGATTCAGGTCACGCAGTCCCTTCTCCAACGAGTCTTGATCCTTTGTTGTGGGCGCCATTGCAACGAACTGCAATTGTCAAAGGACTGAATGGAAAAAGTATTGGTCAACAAGAAGCTTTCTGAAGTCAATTAAAGAAAGCTTGCTTCTTGCGCCCAAGTTATGTCTTCTTCCTTAGAAGTTTCCTCAATAGCTCACTGCCGTCCACAGTTTCTAGTGACCTGCAATCCAAATGTGTACCGGGCTGATCAAACAAACCACCATGAAGAAAAGTATCCTATCGCCAGAACCCAGAACGTCAGAAGGTTCTTCCTCGTACAACGACTGGTAACGGTATTGACCAGCACGTCCAACTGTCGCCAAATAGTTAATGGCTTGTCAGTTGCATTTAGGTTCTTAGTTAAGATTATCTCGGCGGCAAAATGCTAGGCTTGCGAAGATGTGGACGTCGCCATTAGTTCGGACAAAGCAGAGCGGACTGCTCTGTTGCAAAGATTCAAATGTCATGGTATAAAGCTTATACCGGACAACCTGCAGGCTCGAGGTGCTCCAGAAAACGAGAACCTCATGTCGCACGGACCTGACATAGGGCGGTCATGCGTACGGACCGTTGCACGTTCCTGCACGTTCTCTCCCCTGATCTCTGTCTGTCACACGTTTGCCGAACAGAGCACGGATGACTATGCACGCCATAGTATGTACGTAACGTTACAATAAAACGTAAATGCGGAAATGCTATGTTGGCCTACTGCTTGGTGTCTTGGCGTTCTGCGTTGTGCCTCGCCGTGTCCCGTCACGCGACTTAGCCCACGCATGGAATAATGGAAAATTACCGCCAACATATTTTCTGGAGCAGGCCATGCGCTAACGTTTATGGGTTGAACCACCGTTGGCCGTTCATGCCCACATTCAATTCGGCATGCGGGCATCTGTGCACACGCGTGATAAGACTCCATGAAATGGATGCACGAGTGTAGTTGCTACAGTGTGTATATGCCTACTGCCAGAACACTTCATGCGACTTTTTATGCAACAAACGAACGCGCGAGCGACTGATTCCCCAACTATCCAGACTTCAACTGGTCATTGCATGGATGTAATCTGATGTTTACTTCCAGCGCAGAGGGTATTGGTAAAAACTGTGTCGTTGAATGTCAAAGACCAAACCGTTGCAGGACCATTGACCACATGAAATGATTGTTACGATAGTGGAAAATTGTTACGATAGTGGAAAATAATTACAAGCCATTACATCGCGGATTAAGATGCTTCACTACTGTAACGCCGGGACAGACTGCATGCACAGCATAGGTGTTTGAGGAAGTTCGGCATACGCGCGGGTAGTGTCGCTTCATTTACCGTCCCCATCAAGTTTATTTTGGAGGACACATGGTTTGCAGGCTTTTACCAATGTTACCTTCACGGATGATAGACGGATTATCCCTCGGCGCTCGTCCACGATGTGCCGTACGCTCATTGTAGCAAAAGAGCTCGCAAGTCCTTGATATCTGTACCCAGTGTATTTGCTTGTAGCACACGCTGTATTTTTTGACATCGATACGAAGATGGCATTCAACATGAAGCAGCATGTGAATACGGGTGAGTTTGTTGAGGCATTGTTACTTTCCCGGTCATGGCGCTTACGCAGTCTGACCTCGCAGGCGTGTCGCGCAAGGTTGCTGGTGCCGGGCGCTTTCCCGCAGTTGCGGTCCGGGCAGTCGCAGCGCAAGCACCACCAGCCGCCGTGGCCGAAACGAAGCAGGCCTATGGAGTCTTCCGGCTTTCTTATGACACCCAGAATGTAAGCCGTCTGGTACCATGGTTTTCTGGTCCAGTCCACTAAGTTATTCTATTCCTTGTCCTGCAGGAGGACCCTTCTCTGACCCGCAGTTGGAAGAAGACTATCAAAGTCGCTGTGACTGGCGCATCTGGCAACATATCCAACCACCTGCTTTTCATGGTAAAATATTTAGGCAGATGCGCTACAAGGCGTCGCCGTTTTGGCATCGTTATCCTTGGACATGCAGGTATATTTACGTTTCCCTAACTTGGCCTTTCTGCAGCTTGCATCCGGAGAAGTCTATGGTAAAGATCAGCCTATCGCGCTGCAGCTGCTTGGAAGTGAGCGCTCAAAAGAGGCGCTTGAAGGAGTTGCCATGGAGCTCGAGGATAGTCTCTACCCCCTTCTGCGTGAGGTATGCGTCGGCCTCTAGGGAATGGAGACGGAGAATATTTTTTGGATGTTGGTGTACTTACTCTCCCTTTTCATCTCGCCCTTTTGCAGGTGTCCATCGGTACTGACCCCTACGAGGTCTTCGGTGATGCCGACTGGGCTCTCATGATTGGCGCAAAGCCACGTGGTCCGGGCATGGAGCGTGCTGACCTGCTGCAGCAGAACGGCGAGATCTTCCAGGTTCAGGTGCGGCGACAGCTATCGACCGTCTTGGTCGCCACCTAGGTTAACCACGAAATGTTTCCAGCACCGAGATAGGCGATTGGCATGGGCCGCGACATGAAGTGTAGGGCGATTTCTGAAATGGGGTTACGTACATATAAAGTTGACCAACAATAACGTGGATTGTGCACACTCCTGGGGTTTGGGCTCGAGGCGCCCGGGGGCGCTGGTACTATTGTGGAACGGTTGCTGAAACTGAAGCGATAGGATATCTGAACTTTGTTATTGTGTCTTATATTTAGTTCTCAAACTATATGCGGCGGACAGTAAGGCTTGCCAGTCAAACCTCAAGTCTTCTCAACCCTAAGTATAGCTACCTGCGGATCTTCATGCAAATCCTCATGTACTCATTTCATCGTGTCCCCGGTTAAGTGACTGAAACATGTCTTCTTTGGGTGCGGTGTTTGATATCCCTCCGGTATGCTGAACAGTCTGTGTTTCATACCTCGAGTTGCATTACTTGGGAGAGGTGATACAAGCCCACACACGCCGGTGACCTAAAGACAGCCGAGGGCTGACATGTTGCGGATTACCAGGCTTTCCAGCACGATTGACGGCATAAAAAACTTTAACTTTTCAAGTCATGCGTATTCAACGCGTTGTTATAACATGGGTTGCGCTTCTCTCTATGTGCTGCACTTCCTAGCCACACGGTCGCTAGTATATAGCCCCTTACTGCAGACTGTATCCAGCGCTGGATGTGCCTGCCGATATCATAGCTGCATGCAGTATTTTGCGGATGGCTTCGTGGTGTACGATGTCTGTCCGGCTTACCGTCCCTGTATTCCCTCCTGCGCTGGCACACATCTCTTCTCATGCCAGGGCCGTGCCTTGAACGAGTCTGCCAGCCGTAACTGCAAGGTGATTGTGGTGGGCAACCCCTGCAACACCAATGCCTTGATCGCCATGGAGAACGCACCCAACATACCGCGGAAGAACTTCCATGCCCTCACCCGCCTGGATGAGAACCGCGCCAAGTGCCAGCTTGCCCTCAAGTCGGGCAAGTTTTACACCTCCATTTCGCGCGTGGCGATTTGGGGCAACCACTCCACCACTCAAGTGCCGGACTACATCAACGCCCGCATCGGCGGCATACCCGCCACTGATGTCATCCGGGACATGAAGTGGTTCCGCGAGGAGTTCACTCCCAAGGTGGCCCTCCGCGGTGGCGCGCTTATCAAGAAGTGGGGCCGCTCCTCCGCAGCCTCGACCGCCGTGTCTGTCGCCGATGCCATCCGCTCGCTGGTTACTCCCACGCCACCGGGCGACTGCTTCTCGACGGGCGTTATCTCGGATGGCAACCAGTACGGCGTCCGTGAGGGGCTGATTTTCTCGTTCCCGTGCCGGTGAGTATCCATTAGTGCTTTCTTTATCAGACGCCGGAGGCAAAGGTGCCTGGACATGTGCCTGGACTTCATATGGGGGCCCCAGCGGAAAGACTTGAACTCTTACGCAGGCGTGGAACATTATAGCTGTTGTTGCTGTGAGCGGGTGGCATATCTTACGCTTTGTTCCATGGTCATTGTGCTATGTACAATCTTTTCATGTGGCCCCTGGCTGCTTCGTGCTGGCTTCTTCCCGGCTACTATGGTTTTTCATTTTGCAGGTCCAAGGGCGACGGTGACTACGAGATCTGCGACGATTTTATTGTGGATGAGTGGTTGCGCAATAAGATCCGGGCAACTGAAGACGAGTTGCAGAAGGAGAAGGAATGCGTCTCGCACCTCATCGGCATGATGGGCGGATCTTGCTCGTTGCGTGGCGTCGAGGACACCACGGTCCCTGGCGAGAACTAAATAAAGTTGCGGGCCGAGTCTCCACGGTGCAAAAAACTGTTGTAAATCAGCGCCATCAATCGAGTGCTGCTGCAGCTGCGGCAGCCAGTGGTCAGCCTTTATGGCTTTTCCATAGGAATGCTATCGTCCGTTGCGTGTTCCTGGGTGCACCATGCGGCACATCATCCCGACACGGATGATCGGGTTGAGCGCACCGTTTGCGGTGTGGAAACGGAGATGTCAGTGGGATCTGTGGTGGCAGCTGAAACGTTCGCGAGTGATGATTGAGCATCTGGGCGTGGCTTAAAGAGACGCGAGAGTGTGTCTTGGTAATAAGCGGGAATAGCTCTTTCGTCCCGCATACACTAGCCCGCCAAACTCTCGCTGATGCGGTGCGTGCTGTGCAGGGCAACCGTGAAATGATCGTCGCAGGTGTCGCAACAAGCATCAAGAAATATGAGCGGAGTGAGTGGCCTTGTTCCTTTGGCAGAGGAGTAGAAGAGAAAGCTTCGTTGCTAGGGGTCCTGGGCTGCAACCGCGCCTAGGTGGTGCGACGGCTACGGCGGCCATTACTTTACAAAGAAGCAAACCGACTTGCATAAGGATACCGTTAGAAGTGACTTGCTTTGAAAATGATATATTCTGCTCCCGGACTGGTATCACGGAACGCGTAATGGGGCAATTTTGTGCGCAGGTACTGTCGGAGCTGGTATTATCGGGCTTTTATCGGTTTTCCATTATGTTTGTGTGTATGTGTCATACCTCGAGTTGTGTTATTTTCCAGAGGTGTAATGAATCAATGTGATGAGGGGTTAAAGTGGTGATGACGTGGCTAACAGAGGTGACAAGGGGGACCGTGGAAGATTAAGATGGTTGGCAATTGAGGATAAGGTTTGCCTGGTAAGGTGCCCTGTAGTGCGTGGGGATAACGACGAGTGAGTGGAAGGGTGTCTTGAGACCTGACAGCGAGCCTGCGTCGCCCACTTCGCTCTCGAGAAGTCCCCTGAATTCCTGACGTTGGCACTGCTGCTTGCGCCTTCCTCCCTGCCAGCCCAATGTGGCTGCAAAACACATTGCTGGGCATGCGTGGGCTTGTTTGCGTTAAGGGTCGAGTTCAGCTCCCCAGCCGCAGTACAAGATCCTGCTCAATCAGTCCGGAAAATGGCGAATTAAACGGTTTGCGGCGGTTTATCGTGCGCAACTTCCGGTCAACGCCAGTGGCTTATCAACTTTGTTTATCTTGATTTAAGATGAAGTCATGTATTATTTTGTTGTCGTGGTCCGCCGGTACGTTCTACGTCCCAAGCGGGGATGAGTGATTATGGTATCCATTTTGCAGCGCTAACAGAGCTGTCGGCATGCTTATATGAGCCGGCAGCACGCGTTGCCGCAGGAATGGAGAGGTGTCTGGGTCGCTGCACATCCGGCAAGGAAATTTTAGCTTGGGGCTGTGCGGCGAAGTAGGTTAATAGTCGTTGGTCGAGCTTATTATTAGGATCTTTGCTGTTAAGCAGTTCTATGTTTTTTGTTGTCGCGAGAAGTCGTGTCCTGCTGATATTATGCTGGGGCCTGGTAACTTCTAGCTTGGCCTCCATCGCGCTCTCCCTCCACCGACACCCATACAGGGCCGACGGCGTCCGCTGGACGCCATATGGTCCAGTCAATGTCCATGCTGACCTTAGATTTTGCGAAAATCGCGTTAACTCGTAGCCCAAAGAACGGCCTTGGAAGATGTAAAAGCCTTGTCGCTGAATACCCATCTCCCTATTCCATGTTTTGTCTGTCCAGAGAAATCGTTCAACGGAGGGCATAACACCCATGAATTGTCCTATCTACCTAGCCCATAACGTTCACGGCTGATTGGGCTGGGAAGGCTGTCATCGCTCATTGCGCAGAAACGCTGATTGCCATGAACGGGCGTGCTGTGCCGTAGTGTAGCCGTTGCCTGCGGGATGCGCGGATAGCTCCCGTAGTCCTCACGCGTCTGGGAATGGTGCAATTGGTGAAAGGTGAAGTAATCCGTAAGCTGAAGCGCGGCGTAGGGCTCTTACTCACAACTCCCGGCATTAAAAACTCTTTCCTTGGGCGAGCACACCTACCGGGCGCGACAACGACACCTCATGTGGGACGTGGCCTTCCGCAAAGCACAACATGCGAATACCCATACAAATCCAAAATGGTGCGGCATCTGCAATACCCTGGGAGGCCAGGCTTTGGTGATGAAGGCCACCAGAGGCAAAACTAACAACTTTGCCGCCACACAAGCCAAACAACATGCATCCGTCGTCAGAGACAGCCACACGGTCGATTTAGGGTCCTTCCTGAACCTTATGTTGGACTGAACCTGGATTTGCGTTAAAAAGACATCGTTGGAGAAGGTGAAGGTAGACCTAATCGAACCCCGCGTGACGTGGATTATGATTCATCTCTATGTGGCCTCATTTCAAACCTCATGACCCCGGCGGAGATGGTACTTCAGACGGACATGTCCCGGATATGTGTGTTGTCCCAACACGTGCAGTACCTCCACATGCAGAGGGCCTTCGGCAGGATGTGCGAGAGCCTGGAAAGACAGGACACGCACCAGCCTTAATTCCTTCCCATGGCACACGTGCCGCGTAGCTGGCCCGCATCCATGCATGTCGATATATGCCTTCGTGCGGCGTCCCCTTGCAGGGTAGGAGAAGGATGGTAGCAAGGTGACAGCATAATCGTTACAAGAACTGAAACCCCGCGCAATTTGAGGGCGATGTAACAGTATTCTTCTATCTTGCCGGATGGTACCAAGTGTGGTACATTCTCGTGGCCAGCGCTATCGCGTTCGCGCGGTCTCTAGTCAAAGAGCTATGAATGCTAACGGACATGACCTGCCTACCTGGATCCCATCATCCGAACCAACTTACCCCGGACAGTCATTCGACAAAATTCGGAAAATAATACCCTCAATAACTTTCACAGTATGTTTGTCACATTTAAAGAGATGCCTGTCAGGTAATTTGTTTGATGCTATCATTCCTTGACATCGGCATACCCAGTACGGCTAACCATACTCCTAATCAAAATCCCGGATACAGCCGACCTCGAAAACAAGAGGAAGGGAAACAAAAGCATGAATCTTTCGACGGTAGTCTTTTTTCGTTGCTCATCCGGCGACGCTCGTCTGTCGACATATCACGGAACTCAAATACAGCCACACTCAATAAAGGCCGACACTCTTTGTTTTTACAGCCGAAACTCGGCAGGGGGGTATTACAGCCGCGACTCACGAAATAGGCGTGCTGCTCCCAACCACGTAAGCAGAATCGCTTCCGTCCCTGTCCCCATGCGTCCGCTCCTGCTGCCTAGCTAAAGGTAACCAGGATTCCCCTAACACTCATCCTACCTAATCCATCCCAACCCATACTCAAAACAACTTCCTGACCCAAATGCAAGACTCTGGTGCAAAGAAAAATCACGTTTTGCAGATGAGCATATGCTTGGCACGCTTTGCATCGCAGGCACATCACTCCAACGCCCTCTATATAAACGCGGGGAGCTCTGTAACACCTTGCTTTATAACAAATACAGAAGGTTTACGACCGAGGCGTTAACCTCCGAGAGTCGGATCGCTAAAAATGGATCATCTGCTCCTTGCTGTATCCCATTGACTCCAGGAAGGGCACGCAGCAGTGCTCCAACATGGCGGGCGGTCCGCACATGAGCGCCAGGCATTCCGGTCCGGAACACGCAAAGAGGTGCTGCTTAAACATCTCCAACGTCACGCGCCCTGTCGAGAACTTCCAGTCCGAGCTGTTGGTCTGAGACACCGTGTGCCTGCCGGTCAGGTAAAAGATGATGTGGCACATCGATCGGGCGGGAATCATTGCAAGGGCAGGAATTTAAACGTTCACCACCACTTTTCTCAAGCCCGGCCTATCATTACTTTTTCAAAAAGTTCAAGTCAAAACGTAAGGAGTTAATTTTGGTCTTATCATATGCGAGATCGTTCTCTCACCATAGGTGGAACCGGTCCGGGTGGTTGTTTGCGAGCTCATCAAGCTCCTCTCGCAGCAAAATATCTTCTTCTGTGTTGTTTGCAAACACCAGGCTAATCTGCGTCTTATCCTCCGGGTCTCGGAGCGCAGCCTTGATAACCGCGTAGCAGGGCGTGATGCCCGTACCGCCAGCGACAAATGACATGTGGGTCGCGTGCTTGTGCAGCTTGCCGTTCAGCGTGTACGACCCGCGACCATCGTACACAAAATGGCCCAGAGGACCCTTGAACTCCACCGTGTCGCCGATGCGCAAGGACTCGAAGTGTTGCGACATCTTGCCGCCGTCAGGGAAGGCTGGATGCTCGTTGGCAAAGTAGACCTGAGATGGGTTGGAGGTCGACGTAGGTACGGCAAATACTCGATCAGTTGCACGATCAAGCAACATACGGAACATGCGGCCAACACAAGCAAGGCAGTAACAGCAGGGAAAGAAGATAACAGCGCACGGCCGAAGCGGAAGTAGCCATGTTGCTTCCATATTTAGTCGCTGCAGCCGCCTCTCATTACATAAAATCGTCATTTTTTACCATTCAGAGCTCACCAGCTTTGCGTCTAGACCCGATCATGTGCCTTGCTGTAAAATATATACTGATTTGATTGGATGCTGGTGCCGAGTTGCCGAGTTGCCGAACCCAACGAATACACTCTGAAGCTGGATGGGTTGAACGGATTAGGGTGCCCCTCTCGCAGGGGAGAGCAGGGAACTGCCTCCAAGGGAAAGGGGGCCGCTGGTGAAGCTATACCACTCTGTAACATCATACACACCTCCGCAACATCACCCGCAGAGTCAAATGCACCGGCCCACCCACCCGCCTACCCGCCCACACCAGACACCCCAGACGGGCCCCACCTTGATGAGCATGTCCAACCGACCCAGCTCCTCATCGCCGCTGATGGGCGTGTAGGCGCGCATTACGTTCTCCCCATTGATGGTGGCGTACGTGAAGACGTGCTTGCCCACGGGCAGCCCTATCCTGTGCTGCGGACTCGGCAGTCCGAAGCGGAAGATGCGGGTATTGCGGTTCAACTCGATGCGCTCAATCAGCGGCAGCTTGACCTTCTGGCGAGGGTTGAGGACCACCAGCGGGTCGACTGCGGGGCTCTGCGGGTGGGGGGCCACGTGCACACATGCAGGGTGGTGTGGGAGGGGAAACATGTACACCTGTTCATATTGCAAGGTATGAAGTCTTAACAACAGGTTCAAAATTACTCGTTCAGACCCTGAAGAGGAACTTAAGGGGATGGAACCCGAAGAGGAACAATAGAAAGAAATCGGGGTTTTGAAGGTTTTAATGTAAATATGTCTTAGGCGACAGAGGCGACGCAGAGACATGGATAAAAGTATCAGGGAAATGTTGAAATAAGGTCACGTTGGCCACCAAGCAGCAGAGAGCTAAGTTGAAGGCGTCGGATTCACAAGAAGCATTTATGTCAAGAAAGGATTTTCGGGCTGAGGAGATCGGAGGCTTACCGAGGTGCTTGCAACGGGCTGGGGCTCCGGGACTGTGGCGCCTGCAGCGGCTGGTTTCGACGCCACCAAGTCGCCAATGTAGTACTGTGCCAACATGGCCTTGGCCTTGGAAGAGTGAATAGAGTTGAACTCGTCGGTGGCGTCGGCGCCGGCGACAATCAGGATGGACTCGGCGCCGCCGGGGTGCTCGTCCAAGTACGGCGTGGCGTCGTACACCTACGCAGTACGTGTAAGGCGAATTGGCGTGGACGTGAGGATATGGGTGCCCATGAACTTGAACAGCCAAACAGTGTCGTGCGTCGTGTTCAGTACAATGCACCAAAAAGCCCCATGCGAGGTCCCTCCACCTTCTCTGCCGCACCTTTCCTCCGTGCACGAACCAGCAGCTCTCCTCTGTGTTATGCGCCGCCACCTCTTCCATCGTGTATTGACGGGGACCGCCGTTCGCAGCAGCTGCCACCACCGGCGGCGGCGCCGCTGGCGCAGCAGCAGCGGTGGCCCCCTCCTTCACCGCCGCCAGCGCCTGCGCCACGAGGTTGTCCTCCTCACGCCAACCCATGTTACCGCGCTCTCCTAGCTCCACTGGCGCGGGGTGCTGGAAACGGAGCCCCATGACACCATCAGAATCCACCTGAGGATGGATCTTAATCCTGTGGGACGATGGCGATTGCGGTGGTGGTAGTAGTATTAGCGGGGATTGACGAATGTTAAAATGTTAAAAGATCTGAAGGATGCGTTTCGATACGCGCGTGCTCAAAGTATGAGGAAAATCCTATCATAATGCCATCATACAGGTTTACTGTTTCGGGGGTAATAACGTCTTAAAGTCGTACCTGTAGTAGCAGTTGTTCATCATGCCCATGACGTTCCACGTGATGATCGCGGGCTGCGTGTTCATGGTCTCATCCCAGGCGCGGAGCAGGACCTCCTTGGCATTCAAAAAGTCAAATGTCATAACGTCCAGGCTCCAATGCACCCAGCACCAGTACTTGCCTGACGAGAGAGATATTGAGGTGTTGACACGAAGGACAGCGGGTTCAGTCAAAGGCCATCAGATGTCAAGAGGGCCTCATCAGATTCTAGGTACGTGTGTTGGAAAGTGACCGACATATATATACCAGTAAATGGTTAAAGATGGCGGATGGTAGGACCCGGTCGGGGCCCTATGCTGTGTTTAACAACATGCAGCGACCATAGATTGTAGCACCGGAGGACGACAGAAACATCAGTGGAAAGAAAAGCACATGCCGGGGCAGAAAGACGGATCTGTGGCTGATGACGCGTCGCCCTGTGTGCATGTTTTCCCCCTCAACTGCAAGTACGTTTCCGAACATTGTTGAATTGTTGAACACCCTTACCGTATTCATTCGGTTTCTCGAAGCGCTGGATGTCGCCCAGCCGCCACGTCTTGCCATCGTCTAGCGACACCTCGCACCGAATGATTTTCCGGCCGCCGCCTGGTGGTTGGCAGTTGGTGGTCGGGGGAAGAAAGTGAAGCTTTTCAGGATTTGCTCGAAGAGGGCCCCAGGGAAGGTCCAACCGCCACCAAATCAGTCAGTGCCCGTCAGCAAGACACATCTTGCACAGCTCCATGTTCGGCACAAGCCATAGTCCATGGCCCTCCGTCCATGGCCCCCCCCGGTTTTACGGACACACCCGCACTAGTGTGCGGAACTTGTAACTTGTAACATAGTCGACAGAGTGGGGTGGTGCAAATTGGGTGAGAAGCGTGCAACGCTGGCAAGAAGTGGAATCAGCAGTTGTGGCAGTTGTACGCAAGCAGCATTAGCTCACCAGCGTACGCGTATCCGCGCATGGTGTACGGCTTGTTCGCGTCCAGTCGGACAACTTCGTCATGCCACGGCCGCGCCACTGCCGAGTTTATGTTCAAGTCGTTGATAATGAACTCCGGCTTGTACCACCAACCTGCAAGCGGAGAAGGTACGAATATGCCGTACACTACTTTTAATGCATGTCTGTTACGACGACTCAAAAACTGTGTCAACCTGAATTGAGTGGAATAACCCCACTGGACAGAATAAGAATGAGGGTTGGATACAAAATTATTTTTCATGCTGCTGATTTAAAAGCTGTAATTTTGCGTACATCGGTCGCAAGCAACGCATGCATCTATAGCCTTAACCACCTTCCAACAGATATCCCCGTTCATTCACGCTAATCGTATTACTTGGAGCGCTCTACGATCTATAATCTGCAAATGGTGGTTAGCGAGCGCGCACCTTCCTCCTTGGCGAGCGCTTCATCGACGTGCGAGGGCAGCACGCGGTTGTCCATGAAGTGGTAAAAGTTCTGGGACTCAACCTCGGTGACCGTAATCTCGGACAGCCACTTCACCATGCGCCCGCCAATGAAGCCCGGAATAATCATACGCACCGGGAAGCCATGGTCAGGAGTCAGCCACCTGCATGCCAACGGACCCAAAAAAGGCTGAATTAAACGATTCAAACTTTACAGTTGCAGCTGGAGAAATGTCATTTGAGTTCAAATGACTGTATAGTAATAGGTTAGACTGATGTGGCGGAGGCATTTCTTTGACATGCACAGCACGCTGCATCCCAGCGCTTCACGCGGCAGTGGAGGATTTGCTGGATTCCTACTCAATGCTTATTACTATCAGAATTTTTGTTAACTATTTTCGCTTTAATACACGACTGCTGTCATCAGCGAATCTGCTGTAAATCAAACCGCAGATTTAAATTAGCAGGCCATGCCACAAGGACCCACAAGGAACACTTGTTTCCCCAGCTTCATGCAACCGACACACATAGCACAGGACAAACCTGTGGTTCTGCTTGTACGCAATAATGACGTCAGAGGATGGATCCATGGCTTTGGCGTACGTCAGGGACGTGCCGTACGACCCGTCCGAACCACGAGGCAGTTCGCCCTTAGGGCCCCGGAAGCACACGAAGTTGGCTCCCTGCTCTGGAGACTGGTGGTGTGGGGTGGGGTGGGGTGGGATGAGGGTGGAGAGAACCGGAGGGATATGTTGAAATGGGTCAATGTTGAAATGGGTCCATGGGGCCCATGGTACGTGACAAGGAGAAAGAGGAAAAAAACGTATTTGCCCCAGTGCCAGTTTGGGCGCAGCAGATAGGTTTGCATGCTACCCGTGGCCATGTCCCTTGGGCCCTGCATTGAAGCGCTGGAGGCCCCGGGGTGCTAGAGATCAATACCGATGCGGATTAGCCCCCAAGTTAGAACGATTTCACGTTCATATTTTGCTTGTTATCCCCTAGGGTGCTTAGCTAAAGTGCTGATTAGGCACTTATCTATCCATTCGTCCGTGGCCGCCTTGATCCGGGATCCGAACGATCCGGAAAGGCGTTCCAGAATTAGCGACTATCCTCATCAATCTTCCGATTCCTCACAGCCAAACCCTTTCTCGATGCCTTAAAACGTCCGTATGGCACACCTTAATTCCCGCCAGCAGCAGCAGGTCTCGGAGCCTCACTCCAGTCCAGTAGGTAGTGCTCGTGGCGCAAGGGCCCCAGTTAAAGCCAATAGACTTTTTTAACATATTCTCCTCCTTGCGACGGTTCCCGGCGCATACGAGAGTGCAGGGAAAAGTGATGGATGGCAACGCCACTAGCTCGTCCATCGTCAAAAACAGCGGTTTGTCCACGAGGCCGTTGATTTCGATACGATGCTCGGCCCAGGGAATGCGTGGGGCCGCACCATGGTTGCGAACGAAATGCACGGCAGGCGGAGTTATGAATCCGTACTCCATGAGCACGTCCATCGGTGGCTCGCAGTTAAGCGGGTGCCGACCGGTGAGGCGCAGAATTCGCGGGTCACGTCGAACCCAGTTATCAGGCGTATCTTGATCCTTCTTGTCCACCGCGGCCGCGGGAACGTGCACTTTCCATTCCGGGTGGTCGGGCGTTAGAGGCGGCTCGTAGGGAGCGCCAAGTTCCACAGCCTGGGAAACGATGCCGCCGAGAGGTAGCTCTGGGATAGTCATCACGAAAATGTTTCAGATGCAAAAAGCTTGGGTGTGTCCGAGCTGTCAAAAGTTACTGGTCGCGTACTACTGCACTTGCGAGTAAGCAACCAATGAAGTAAAGATTGAAACGATTATATTGTAATCAAATATAAAGTATATGTTGGTAAACACTGAAATAGACTCTGATTATCTGTGCTGAATAGTAATTGCGCCAGCAGCGGGAGCCAGTGATCCTTATGAACTGCACAGAAGTTACCTGCACGCTAAATACATAATAGGACCGTGCGATGAAACCTACCAACGCGTGTGTCTCTACGATGGGGTGCCTCCTGTGGCCTTTTCGGTCGTTGGGCCACCGTACGGAGCGCCGTAATGCAGAAGGGGCGTAGTTGACTGTGGTGCAGGTCCCTGGCAACAACATGTGCACTTTCAAGGCATGAACTGCTGATACTTTGTTATATTTCTTACATTTGCTGTACTCTTAGGAACTTGTGTCCTTTTCGGGCCACTTTAGATGCATCGCCTTGAAAAACTGCCATCCGAAGGAATCCAAGGCCACCCGATACTCTGGCGATTTCCTTTCTTTGACTTTGAGACGTTTATTGTAGTAGTACGTATAGTCTGATACACAAACCCTAACTGGCGGACACCGCAGTGCCCGTTTGCGCTGAAATGTCATCGGTGTCGACCATTACCTACTTGGGTAATAACTACACATCACGACTGATTCTACTTAGGGCTTGCTTCAGGCTCCATCGATGCCCTGCGAAATTTGTTGTATATATTCCGTTCCTTCATCCAGACCATGCAGACCTATATTAAACACATCATGGGTTAGCGATGGATCAGTGCGATTTAGGAGTATCTTAATCGGTGACTTAACCCCAGTGGAAACACCCCCTAATGCAAACTTCCGAACCTGCCAAGAGGAGGTTGCGTTCTTACCGTAAAATGCATATATATAAAAGGCATATATATACCTATCGATTATCTACCGGTCTTCCTGGCGGGAATTCTGGTACATCCAGAACCGCAATCCTGACATCGGGTTCCACATGGTAACCAAAGCACGAGCTCACACGTGGTGGATGGCGTTAGCTCGATCTTAGGGAAAACGTGTGCCACATCCCTTGTGCCACCCACTCCTATCAATCGTTTCTCACGGAAGCGCAACGAAGCTGTCGTTTATCGTAAAACCGATCAGCCACAAAAGCGTCACAAGTTACCACCTAACCCAGACGTGTCAAAGTACTTTTGTAAGAAGCGTACGGACAAATATTCTCATAGCAGCTGGCATTGTGGGGAGGGGGCACGGCCCTGAAAGAGCATAAGCTCCCTCCTTACGGCTCCATACTCCTCTTGCAACATCTGATTTGAAAGCTATGGACTTCTAGCGCCAATTTTAATCCCCAAAACTGCTTTATATGGCAGATGGGATAAACAGTCACAATCCGGCCGCGTGCAGCGGCCAGCAGCATAGATCTGGAAATGCGCACACTCAAGGGGGACAACTACAGGTAGACGGAGTATGTAACATTTGGATCGGCACGCCTAGGATGAAACGTCACGTTGTTCAAACCCTCCTGAGACCAACCCAACTGAGGAAACTCACCCCTCTGCCACCCTATCTCCGAGCATGTGTCGCATCAGAGCAATTGCGTGACAACAGGGAGCGGTGTGGGATTAGTTTGTGTGTGTGTGTGTGTGTGTGTGTTACATGGTTGGGGGTGCGTGACCCCATACCTGTAAGACTACCCATATGAGCCGAAGGCCCAAGGGCAATACTACAACGCCTAAAAGCCACGGAGGAAAGGAAAACACCGCACATCAGCCCAGACTAGCGTCCAAAGGGGGTAATTGAGTTTCGGTGAGCCCACATACGTTCCAACATCCTCGCAAGACGTGCGGGTTCCCATTTCATGGCCTCCAACATGCTCTGTTGATGATCGAATCCCTCTTCAGCACGAATATCATTATAGGCTGGGCATTCAAATAACACGTGTTTTTCGTCCTCGATTCGGCTATTAGTACCACAACAGTGGCAAAACCGCTGCCCCCTGGGGACATGGTACTTGCCCCTTCGTGCTCTGTTTGCCTCCAAAGCCCAGCAACATAAACGAAACTGCATTAGCTTACGATGTGCTAAACGAGATATGAAAAACCTTAGCATGTGTTGGCCACATGACGGCTGCGGCTCCCGAAGATTAGTTTGCAAATAGCAAAGCACAACAAACAGTTGTGTTGACGTCCAACTGATAGCGCCCGTATTGATGATGTAAGGCTGCGGGGTTAAGGAGGGGCCGCCGGAAAGGTAAGAGTGCCCCTAGTCGATGGACGGTGGTGACAATTGCGTGTCAGGGGGGATCGCCGCTAGTGTTTCATGTAAGTGGGGGTGTTCGGGTGTTCGTGCTTCGATCAGCACCTGACCCGCGGCCCAGACTGGTCGATGGATCAAACGTGAATAGTGCGGCCCCCCGCCAGCACATCATTGCTCGCACAACAGCATTACAACTTATGTAATAGTTATAGGGTCTTTCGGGATTTGGGACTGCTTCAGCACTTTCCTCCTTGCCTCCTGCTCCGTCTCACGCACATCTTATGTATGTTGTTACAGGGTGGTGTAGCCACACCTGCGGCCCCCTTTCCCGAGGCAGTCCCCTGCTCTCCCCTGCGAGGGGGGCACTCTAATCCGTTCACCCCATCCGACTTCAGAATGTATTCGTTAGGTTCAGTGAGTCACCACCAGCATCCAACCAAATCTAGCAGATAAATGGCGCCTCAACTAAGTTCCTGGTCAGATCGCAAGTTGTTATAAACACGTCATACACGGTCCACAAGACGGTGAGCCCCCTCCCAATTCACTACTCCTTACACACCCGAGGGGTCGGCAGATGGAATTTGAACCCGGACACTCCGGGAGCAGAAGACAGGCCTTAACCTCTGCCAGCCACCTGCCTTATCTTATGCACGTGTTATTCTCCAGTTCCAGTGGCAATGGGGAACTGGGTTCGCGCATTACCATTGCCTAGGCTATAGATGCTCAGCCGTTCGTGTTGAGATGGAGGCGGCGCGCAATGCACCGTCCATGGATTTGCATTGGCGCCTTAGCAAGGTGTATACACCAATTTCATACATCACTCCAACGCTGCCGGCCGCCGCACCCGGCCCTCGCAGCTATAGTCCAGACACGACGCCGTTCCTCCGCTTGCAGCCCAGTGACGTACAGCCTCCACTGTGGAATACTGCGGAGTGACTGGCTGGACCGGGGCCGAGCACTTTTCGAAGCTGACTACCCTAGTCCAGACGGCCTCCGCACTTGTGCCGAAGCTGTACGTAATTAGTTCCGAATACATGAAATTGGTGATGGGGGATACATCTTGTAGAAAAAATATAGACATAAGGAATCCTGATTTCATTACATGATGCGTACATGTCGGTGATCACGAAGTTATCAAGACACACCATCGCGCATCTGAATGCTTCTTAGGGCAAGTCAGGCGCACACAACCACGATCGCGTATCCTTCAGCCAGTCGCGACGGACTGCAAGGAACAACTCTCTCTCAATTCTTATGCTCGCCCTCAAGAAGCATAAAACACTCGTAAATGTCTTCTTAGTGTACATGTATCTATCTGTCCTCGCTGGTCACGGTAAGTGGCAAAAGCAGCCTTCCTAAGCCCTACAAAGTCAAAGCACTGTTTTTGAGGTTCGACATCCGCCACAGGTTCGACATCGCCAATTTTGCCATCGTCACCGTAACTCGCTTCCGCGATACGAGGGAGGGGCCTCGCCGCGCACCATCCTAGCAGTGCTGCAGCAGTACCGTGCGCATCAACCGCCTCCATTCCGGCGCGCGGCCCCTCCCGAGAATCCTGCGCACAACAACTACAGCAGAGCAATGTCAGCAGTAAGAACTCTCACGCTCGCTAACTAACTCATCTTCGCTTATCGTGTCAAACAGCGATCTTTGTTGGGACTACAAGCAACTACCCGAAAAACCCAAAGACGAGGCCTCCATGCGCACCACGACAAGCACACCACATGCGCACATCATCATCCCGCACACTGCGAGTCAGAGCGATTGCGGTGATCGAACGATACCCTTAAACCCCGTAAGAGAAACACCTGGACTATTAGCCTGTCGACCTTCACATCTGAAAAACAATAAAGAAACCGTCACCACCGACACAACACCGGCATTCGAACAACTTCCTTTCTTTTCATGCGCAAAGTACCACACACACACACAAGCGTTACAGCGTTATCCTCAAATGCAAAGTTCGGTAGAGGTAAAGCAAGACGCCAACCATTCGACCCTGAAATACGCGACGAGATCAAACAGCTCACTCACTTCATTCACGCACCCAACAGTCTCGACACGGAGCCGACGATAACCAGCTAGCAGACAACACCTCGGGCAGCACCAGACCACCAAATCCCTTTCGTAGTGATAAGGAAGGGTAAGGGGTAAGGGGTTCACGTCCCGCGGGTCTGAAACTGTCCACAACGCAGGTTCAGATACAATCCCTCTACGACGTCCGCCTCTCTACAACGCCTTCCGATGGTCCCTTTCTCCTGCACTCCCTCAATGAGCAAACCGGAGAGACCGCCCCGTACGTTTGTAGTACAACGAATCGCTGATGGAGTACACAATCAGGAAAACGGGGGAGAAGATGGACATGGCGATGGCGGCGCCGCGCATGGAGGGCGTGATGGAGTTCACAACTGCAGTCTCGATGGTAAGGGTGTTGTTCACGCCATTGCGGCGGTCGCACTGGCAGTAGTCCTTGTGCCCGTCAGGAAAGGTGCACAGCGTGCAGACCTCTGGATAGAGCAATGCGTCAGTGACACCGTCCGCGTGGGCCAAGTCCCAGATGCCGACGCCGGAGTTGGTGAAGGACAGGGTGGAGAGCTTCCACTTGGCGTGCCAGCCGTGCTGCGAGGGGCGGAGCATGAGCGGGGTTTTAAGGGAAGGGTGGGTCAGGCGCTTTGGCAGGACGTGTGTGCGGATTGCGTGTGCCGCTGAGCGGTGGCGACGAGAAGTGAGAAATGTGAGGGAAAGATGTTGTGGAAAAGAGCCCGGAAGGCGAGGAGAGAATGTTGTGCATGTCGGCGTTGTCGAAGGTCGGGGGAGAAAGGGGTAGGGCGTCGCTTCGGCCTCGGAGGGATGGGTTGATTGCCGTACATCTGCAGACAGGTGCCTATATTGTGCCTCTTGTGGTGCCTAAATAAGTAACGTCTTACCCCGGGGTAGGCCTGGTTCTTCTTGCGCCAGCCGCGGTCAACCTGGGAGGCGGCGGCGTAGTCCAGGCGTACAACGAGTTCTTGGGGCGTGCCGTTCTTCCAGGTACGGAAAGGCGCGGACGCGTTCTTCCGTGTGAAGTTGACCATCACTTGGTAGTTAGTGAAAGCTGTGAGCACTGGCCGATTACAAGCTGCGCCGAAGGCGGTGGCATTGCATGTGTGAGGGACCCATTGGGCAGACGGGGACTCCCGGATGAATATGCTAATGCTCCATTGTCCCGTGAAGTTTGACATCATTGCATATGCTGCGCAGAGGGAAGGGCGATAAACACAAAATGTTAGTAAAGTGACAGGACCTTGAACGCATGAGGACACATGTTTATCCTACAATTATTTCTACGATTGATTTCTATAATCGATTCTACAGGATTGTGCCACTTACTCGGTGAGGACGGCTTTGGGGCAGACGGCGCTTGGCCACCGGCTTCACCCCGAACGTTTGATACAAAGGCCAATACGGCCATTAAAGCCAGTGCTATGGCGTGTGTTTGCATTGTAAGATGTGAAGATGACAACCCTAACCACCACCACGCAAATTACTGCGCTGACTATAAATACGCCCTCTACAACACCTTACTTGTATGATTTATCGGCTGGAGGATGTTAGATTATCATTCTTTCGGTGTGCGGGTCTGTCGTGCAGAGACAGGGACCCTTCGTCTCGAGAGGCATGCTCGTCAATCCGTTAGCCGTTGAAGGTCCATGTGCCCCGTACGGCGGGAACAGGAAGAGACCATCTTGGGACACTTTTCAATCACGCCACCTCTCCCACATGAATCACAGCAGCCACCGTGTGTTTGTTGCATGCAAAACTTCCCTGTGCTCACGTGATACTGTGTTGAGATTTTTGGACGACAGCTGATCACTCCATAGCCGGGTGTATAGTTTTCATCCTGGTGAAGCAGAGATAATGTCTCTTAAGCCTATGGCAGTCTCTGCAGAAAAATGCGACCCGCTGTCTGGGGAAGCTGTTATCAGAAAACAGCCCTACGAGCTGGATTCCGAGGGCAAGGCAAAGGGGATTCCTATATGGCGCTTGACACAACCGCACATGATGGCTTTCCATGTGAGCTCGAATAGAGAAGCGCAGTACGTGTTGCTGAATTCCGACCTACACATTACACAGAGCTTGGTTTATAGTGTCGACACATACTGTCATCTTTTGGATGGTATTCACATGTTCAACCTGTGACACCATGCCAGAGTCCCTGATATGCACGTGGTACACTGCTAGCATGACATTTCTTGCGTCGCACTGTCCCTTTGCCACAGCTATCATGGATTTCATTCTTCATGTCCTTCGTGGCCACTTTCGCACCAGCTGCTTTGGTACCCGTAATTCGCGACGATCTCTTCCTCAGCAAGTCTGAGCTCGGAAATGCTGGCGTAGCTGCGGTGTGCGGTGCCATAGCTGCGCGTATCTTCATGGGCGGCTTTGTCGATACAGTCGGTGAGCTGCACAGCGTGGAATAGCTGGTTCGGCATCATCAAGAATAACATAGCAGGCTAGAAAGCAGACTCTGTAGTTGAGGGGGCACACGGTGTGCTGGCACACCAGAACTAGGGTTTTCTCGAAAGATAGCAAGGTGGCGGATATGGGTCATTTCCTTAAGGATACCTGCCAGATACAGGTTATGAAGTTTCACACGAAACCACTTTTGCTGTGCGGTCAATATCCGTCGCCATAGTGGAAGGCGGGGAGCTGATAAACGCGCTGTTCGGTCGGGCATTGCGCATGCACCTTTTCCTTGCATCCCTTCCAAGGACTGACTGTGCTCCAGTACTGAAGTGATGGAACAGCGGCGGCTAAGGATGATACGAGCGCGAGGAAATATGCTGTGCTGTGCTGTGCTGTGATCCTCCCTCACATCATCTGGCCTTCCCCATGTGTCGCCGTCCCCTCCCTGGCCCATACTCCAGGTCCCCGGTACGGCACGGCGGCAACCATGCTCGTCACTGCGCCTGCCGTATTCTGCATGTCGCTTGTTACCGACTTTTCCAGCTTCGCCGTGGCCCGCTTCTTTATTGGCTGCTCGCTCTGCATGTTCGTGTGCTGCCAGTTTTGGTGCGGAAGGTAAGGTAAAACTCCCCTGATTAAACCCATGAAACCGATGAAACCTACACAGCAACCAGAACAGAGTAACTGTCGGAAATAACCCACTCTGAGGCTTATCCGTCTCCAAGCTCGCCTCTCCCCACCACAACCACAAATCCAGACACCCATCCGAGTCTGCATCCAAACCATGTGTATGTACCTTCCATCGTCCATCTCTCTCTCTCGGCCTTTATTTGTTAGTGCCTCTTGTCCCTTAGCGCGCCACATTTAGTAGACAGTCCTCGTACAACATGCACGCGCACGTGAATCCACGCCTTTCCTCCTCTCCCCCTTTTTTCTGCTCAGCATGTTCAACGTGCGCATTGTGGGCACTGCCAACGCTATCGCCGCGGGCTGGGGCAACATGGGCGGAGGCGCCTGTCTGTTCATTATGCCACTCATCTTCGACGGCATCCGCAAGCACGCACCCTCTTTCCAGGCGTGGCGCTGGTCGTTCTTCGTGCCGGGTGGCATTTTCATCTTGAATGCTGTCTCAACTCTGCTATTGGGTATTGACCACCCTTCCGGCAAGGACTACCGCGACCTGAAGAAGGATGGCACTCTGAGGTCCAAGGGCGCCTTGTTGCCAGTCATTAAGTGCGGCCTGGGGAATTACAGGTACGTCATCGTACGATGCCGTACCTAGGTGACTGCGTACACCAAGTAGAATGTTTTGGCCGCCGTGACCGTGTGCGACATGCCGTCTTAATGCTTTCAGGACTTGTGTGCAGATGATATACGAGAGCGCATGCTGGCTGCTTGCAAGCCCCGGCCTTCTCTGTTTGAAACTGATGACCCGCAGAAAAAAGAAATCGTCCTTCGTTTCCTAACCGCTCTTTCCATTTCTTTTCCCTCTTCCGTGTCTTTCTGTTGACAGGGCTTGGATTCTCGCCCTCACGTACGGCTACTCGTTCGGCGTTGAGCTGACGGTTGACAATATTATCACGGAGTACTTTTACGATCAGTTCGGACTCAGCCTCAAAGTTGCGGGAGCCCTAGGCGCCATCTTTGGCCTGATGAACCTCTTCACGCGCGCCTCGGGTGGCATGATTTCCGATTTCGTCGCGAAGTACTGGGGCATGCGCGGCCGGCTGTGGGCCCTATGGATCATCCAAACGCTGGGCGGCGTTTTCTGCATCGTCATGGGCAGGGTCAACCACAATCTCACAGCGACCATCGTCGTCATGGTCATTTTTAGCATCTTCTGTCAGCAGGCCTGCGGCGCGCATTTCGGCATCACGCCCTTCGTCTCGCGCCGTGCGTACGGCGTGGTTTCAGGGCTTGTCGGCGCGGGCGGCAACACGGGCGCCGCCATCACACAGGCCATTTGGTTCGCTGGAAAGGCGCAATGGCAGCTCAAGTAAGTCGCCCCTATCCCCCTGTGGATAAATGTTATGTGTGTGTTATAAATCCGCTGCTTGTACCAAAAAATAGTGGTCTCGCCTTAACGAACCAAGGCGGGACCGTACATAAATGATATGATCTGTAGTATGGGTGGTGGTTGATATGATGGAACGGATAATTTCAGGAAATCAGGAAAGGGATGGAGGTCTATTAGGGTTTAGGGAGACTGCTTTATAGACGTAGAGGGACTGCCCACGTGCATGTGATAGGATTACGGCACGATGCTTCTGTCGTCCTAATTCTAACCTGCCCGCCGCAAACCGTTTACCCTCCTCTGCACCTTACTGCTGTGTACTGCAGCCTCCAAAAGTACGACGGCATGGTTTGGATGGGCGTCCAGACCATCGTCCTGACGCTGCCGCTGTTCTTCATCCAGTTTCCCATGTGGGGCTCCATGTTGACCGGGCCCCGCGAGGGCGCTCAGGAGGAGGACTACTACCTGAGGGAGTGGAGCGCGGAGGAGGTGGCGCAGGGACTGCATCAGGGTTCCATGCGGTTCGCCATGGAAAGCAAGTGAGTGATGTGATTTGTGACTTTTTATTAGCTTTGGCCTTTGGCGTGAAGTCAGCACGGAGAGATCTTTGTTCGCGCATCTTCCCCTCCTTAAATAGCTTTTATCGCCTGTAATAAAACGAAGAGATGAGTGAGTGATACGTTTCGCGGCGCTTCAAACATGGAGTCACAATCATGAAATCGAAACAGAAGTCGGTGTAACGCGTCCCTAAAGCCTAAACGAACGGATAAAGTGCTCCCTCTTTTGTGATGGCTGCGGATGTACATGGGAGAGTTGTCTGGGACCAAGTGCATGCACGGTGATCTATGTACGCTTATCTCCGGTAAACCTCCGGATCACACCATACATACATACACATACATACATACATACATACATACATACATACCAGGAGCCCTCCCCTGCCTGGGCTGCCCTAGCCGTCTTTTTATTTTTTGTTATTTTTCCTTGGGATCCTTTGGTCGTTGGTTGTGTTGTAGGGGGGTGTTTCACAGAGCCTTTGCTTATACCCTAGCTGAGACTTGTGGACTCGCTCTAGCGGGACCTGATAGCCCTTCGTGGTGTGTCTTCACTGCATCATCATCCCCGGATGGAGGGCCCGGGCGGAGTGTGTTGGCAGTCTGAGTCGGGGTCGGGAGCACACAAGACTAACCGGCTTGTGCTGTGTGCTCCCGACCCTTGCGCTGTGTTTCGGCTTCGGCCCCCGGCTCTCGCGGCCCACAGTGTAATCTCAAGTCATACATGCATACATACATACATACATACATTGCTCACCTCCTCTTTATCCACTCCGCCCGCTCTCAACCTGTCTCAGGTCCCAGCGGGGATATAAGGAGCGCAAGGCCCTGGAGGCAGCGTCAGCGTCCTCATCGTCAGATTTTTCTTCGGGCCCTAAGTTGGCCCCGATGCCATGAAACCCAACCAGAAGCCATTACCACACACCGGCGGCTCCGGCGCGTGTGTAGCTAAACTAGGCAGCTAGATTAGGTAGCACGCGGCGCAGTGCCCTCTTGGGTATTGTCTCCATGACCCATCCGCTCATCATCCGTGTGTGCTGTTCGGTGTTTATCTCTCTGCTCTCAGCCCTGGAAGTTCTTGCTATCGCTCGCCTGGAGGTTCTTACATCCGTCCCCGACAGTGTGTTCACGTGTGTTCAACTGACTAGGGCTGCCGACTGACTACTTGTATTCTATTCGTAGATTTTCACAGTTGTTGGTTCTCCTGCTGTCACTATTCGGTCACTTTACTCCGGAAGGGTGGCCATCCTCCGCGCTAGTGGTGCTGCTGCGCCGTTCATGATGACGGCTGAGGGTGAAGGTCTCGGGTCACGGTCTTGGTTACCAGGGTGCTTCATTTGCAGATCTGGAACGTTGATTAGCCTAGGAGACCTAAATATTTTCTTTCCTAGCAGGATTAGGGCCTCGTTGCGATGGTGAGTGAATTCTTCACAGCAGCCCTCAGTTTGTGTGTATGTATGTGCTACTGCTTCTTCTTGTGCTTTCGCGACTGTATGACTGTATGGATCTCGTTTCGGGGCTGGCGACGGCGGCTCAGCTGCGGCGCTGCTGTTTGACCCCCCTGCGACTGCTCGCTGGTGGCTGTGCACGTGTGATCGCGGTGCAGAGGTAAGATAGAATGAAGGGGCAGGGACGTCCTTCTGATTGTGAGAGGGGGGAGGGTTGCGTGTGTGCCTTTACGTACTAAATGAGTGAGCGCGGGAGAGCGGAGGGTTTTGTCCCACGTCCATATCCCATATAGGGCGGTGTAGGTAGGGACCTGGTGCAGGTCGGCAGCACTAGCTAGCTAGGTAGCATTATTGGTTTCGGCAGTACAGTTAAGCGGTAGTACAGTTAAGCTCGAAGCATGTGAATGGTCTTTTAGCTGGACGTCGGTTTCTTGTCTGTGCATGTATTGCTTTGAGCTTGTGCGTTGTGCGCGCTCGCATTTCCATGAACTAAATGTGTGCATCGATGGTACATAATGTTCTCTGTGCGTGCAAGACACGCTGCATGAGCCCGTCGATTTGCGTGGCGGTCCAACGTGTATGTGTCCGTGCGTGTGACATTCCTCTTGAAAATTATTTGTGTGTGCGCGGCCTCACTCGCTTGTGTTTTCTTAATTTTACATTTGTAACCCCCGTGTAGAGTTCAGTGCGTGGAAGATGCGGGTGCATGTGAAGATGCGGGTGTTGTATGTGAGCATGCATGCTTCGGTGGCGCATTGACAGGACGTCCCTGTTCTCCCCCTGTTCTCCCCCTCCTTCTTTGTTTTTTTAGAGCTGCTAGAGCTCCTGCTTTGCTCCTCCGCGTGTTGACATTGAGGGCGTGATGACTTGGGGAGGGGAGTCTGCTTCCGCGCAGGATAGGTGATAGAGGTCGTGACCCAGCTCACCTATTTCTTTTGGCTGAGCGAAGAGACCAGGACGAAGACCGAGTTTGTTGCATTTGTATGATTTTTGTACCATATATATTGCTTGAGAGGACAGTGATGAGCAGTACCAGTTTGGATCAGCGCGCGCTGGCCCCCTTGGCGCGATCTCCTATTTGTATTAGCCTTTATTAGCCTTTCGGTTGTTACTCGGTTGGCATGTCGGGAAAGCTTTGTGATCGGTATCCGGTGGGAACGTGTTGGTTGGAATAACCTGCGGGTTCGTGTCCCGAGTGCTTTGGACTATCGCTCCGCTGTCCCCGTGTTCCCCGTGCGCGCATAGGAAGGTGTCACGCACAACGCCTTGTACTGACGGGTGCACCAATATAGCGCCCTAGCCGCTAGTTTTACAATGTACGAGAGAACAGCGTACGCATTGTAACGCTGATTGTAACGCTGAACGGAAATTGCGTCCGAGCCGGACTGAGGTGACTGCGGTGGTGAAAGATCCCACCTCTGTAATGGACGCCTGAACTATGATACCGCATATGAGCATATTGAGTACCGACCTACATAGCAGGTAGATTCATGCACGGAAGGGTACCGTAGTGGACAACCAGGAGGGCGCCTTAAGCAGGGCCCCGCGGAGGCGAATGGGTTTCTATGTCCTGGGGTTCTCGTACCGCGGTTTTCTCAATGGTTATCGTACCTGAGTGTTTTATCATACCTGGCTGCCGTACCAACCTTGTCATCTACCGCGTTAGTATGGGTTATGAGAGGGGCACGCACTGCTCACTCTTCCGGTCTCAGATCTCTCAGATTTTACCACCTTTGCACTGCCCTACTCATTGAATCAACTAAAAGGAACGTCAAAGCGCATCATTATGAGAGGATAGCACAGGGCTGCAGTCTCACAAGGTAACGAGCTAACGTATCTCAGGAAAAGCTTCAAATTCAAAACCCCCTTGACCCCCGTTCTCGAGGGGGAGCAAAACCGATTGGAGGCTCCAGGCCTCCATATGCGCATTAGCGCGCGCACGATGCTGTCTCCTTTGCCGTGATCGGTTTTATTTGCTATAGGTTGTAACATCACGTCCTGAGAACCTCCATAATAATCAAATATGAACCGGTATTCTCCTAGGCCGGGCTCTGGAGGGTTAGGAAATAAGAAGTAGAAAAGCCGGCCCCGGGCGTCGGCGCTGTCGGCTTCGTCGTACGGCTGTCGTAGGTGGAGGGTTGCCTATTGCTTTCGTTGGGCTAAATAAGGTGAATCTAGCTCCGTCTTGCAACGAACAATCCTTAGGCATGGAACCATTTGTTGCAGCTAAAGGCATAACAGAACCATACATCGGTCTCCTTCCGCAAGGCATGAGCGAGGCGGTTGTAAAGTTTGAAAGGATAACGTGCGAGGTGTGAGTAGAAACTATTTATTAATGTTCATCGGTACTTTATGAAGGTACAGATGAGGATACCTTAAGGTGCAAGGGGAAGCTACGGGGAGCAGTGAATCTATGTGAAAAAATATGAAAAGCTAAGCATGGGTTCACGAGCGGTTTGGTACTGCCGGTGTCGACTCTCTATCGGAGAGTTTTAGAATCCTCAAATCATGCACGAACAAAGTTGTATTGCTGAGATAGCCGCAGCAGCGCTCGCTTAGCGCGGATCCGTCTGATGGGGCTGGTTTACTAGATTTAGTGACAAAACCACATATCCGCGAATACATTTAACCTGTACTGAAATGATCAATTTGCACTTCTTGACGCTGCGGAGGGAGCGCTGCCACTATCTGAAGGAATTTTACTAAAAGGGAACCGTTGTAGTAATACACGATGCAACGACTGCGGGTCCAGCAGAACACTATTGAAAGGAGCCATTGTATATTATGATCAGTCTGACATGCACACTGTAGAGCTGGGCCCTTTGTTTGGGCCAGCCTCACCAATGTGGACTTAACCGAATCCGTTGCATCGCTTCCCGTGGGTCGCTTGTGATTGGGAAAGACCGTTACATGCACTAATACAACTATATATTTAATTATTTGGCTGATTACTGCCTAACATTCTTGGTGTTGTGCAGCTGAATACGCTTTGCAAGCGGCCCACGTGGAGCGGCTGTTTATCACCTTTTGGAGGAAGGACCTGATGATATGATAGCATAAATTTAATCCTTCAGGCATATAGTTGATTTATAGAGCTGTCCCCACGTGTGAAGCCACGTTACTACGTCTTACTCAGAACCACCCTGATAGTCAAAAGTTAGGGAGCTATGGCAACTCCATCTACGGATACACCTACAGCCAAGTCGCTGGAAGATGTCCACCAATCCAAGGCGTTCCCTTATGGGATTGATTCGGAGGGCAAGGCGAAGTCTGTTCCCATTTGGAGAGTCACGCAGCCCCATATGATGGCCTTCCATGTGCGTTCACGCTCTAGTGTGAAAGCAAGCGTGATGTAAAGACAGTTTTGCGTTGATTAATACTAAGTACGCATAGTCGGCAGCGGGCTGGCCGCCCTTTCAGGGCACCTGTATACAGGGCGGCTTAACTAACTTTGTTTATTTGCCCAACGCAGCTTTCATGGATTTCTTTCTTCATGTCCTTCGTGGCAACATTTGCACCAGCTGCGCTGGTACCCGTCATCCGCGATGACCTCTTCCTTACCAAGCCCCAGCTAGGAAACGCCGGTGTTGCAGCCGTATGCGGTGCCATCGGCGCCCGTATCTTCATGGGAACCTTCGTCGACACAGTGGGTAAGGAGATATCCATGCTAGCAAAAATGCAATGGTCGTCCTTATAGACTCTGCTGCCCTTTGAGCTCAACTTCAAAGGGCTGTCTATTGTTCGCTGAGGATCAGCTAGCCTATTGAATTTATGCTAACCAAACATCCTGAAATTTGTTGGCAATCTTTGCCCTCCGCCAGCAATAATCGCCTGGTGTAGCAGCCGACGTTGCTTAACCATGTTGTGCAATCGCCTTTTGGTCTCAAAGCGCCCATGTAACGCCGCTAAGGCAGCCCTTGGCTCACCACAGCCCATGCTTCACGCCTGCTAACGTGATTTTGACTATGGTTGTGCGCATTCTGCGCGTTGTTAAAGACAGTTCCAAGCCAATTTGTGCCGATGCGTGTGCACTCATTTTTCTCATTCCAGGTCCCCGCTACGGCTCCGCGGCGACGTTGCTCATCACTGCTCCTGCCGTATTCTGCATGTCGCTTGTTACCGACTTCTCCAGCTTCGCCGTGGCCCGCTTCTTTATTGGCTGCTCGCTCTGCATGTTCGTGTGCTGCCAGTTTTGGTGCGGAACGTAAGTTTGCGTTTAGCGGCGGACTGGGCAAAGGAAGCGTTTTGAACGAATGAATCCTAGGAATGAAAGAGACGATCATCCGGTGGATGCGCAGCAGAAGACTTATCACTGCGCCTCGTACGTAACAACCATCACCAGAAGGTTTCACAACATACCTGTACACTGGTTCTAGGTTCATGCACCAACACGCAAACTACCCTTCGTACAACATGCACGCGCACGTGAATCCACGCCTTTCCTCTCCCCCCCCTTCCTTCTGCTCAGCATGTTCAACGTGCGGATTGTGGGCACTGCCAACGCTATCGCCGCGGGCTGGGGCAACATGGGCGGAGGCGCTTGTCTGTTCATTATGCCACTCATCTTCGACGGCATCCGCAAGCACGCACCCGCCTTCCAGGCGTGGCGCTGGTCGTTCTTTGTGCCGGGTGGCATTTACATTCTTAGCGCTGTGGGCACTCTGCTATTGGGTATTGACCACCCTTCCGGCAAGGACTACCGCGACCTGAAGAAGGATGGCACGCTTAAGAGCAAGGGTGCTGTGTGGCCCGTTCTGAAGTGCGGCCTCGGAAACTACAGGTGAGGTGAAAACCTACGAATGCGCAGGTGTTGAATCCATACCTTCGGTCGTATACGCAGCATGTGTGACAGGTTAAAAGAACTTTAATACGATCGCTTTATCCTTAAGTAACTTTCTTTCTTCCGTGCCCATACATGTTTTCCTGTTGACAGGGCTTGGATTCTCGCCCTCACGTACGGCTACTCGTTCGGCGTTGAGCTGACGGTTGACAACATTATCACGGAGTACTTTTATGATCAGTTCGGACTTAACCTCACCATTGCTGGAGCCTTTGGCGCCATCTTTGGCCTGATGAACATCTTCACGCGCGCCACCGGCGGCATGATTTCCGATTACGTCGCGAAGTACTGGGGCATGCGCGGCCGGCTGTGGGCCCTATGGATCATCCAAACGCTGGGCGGCATCTTCTGCATCATCCTTGGCAAAGTCAGCAGCAGCCTGACCGGCACGATAGTAATCCTCATCATTTTTAGCATCTTCTGTCAGCAGGCCTGCGGCGCGCATTTCGGCATCACGCCCTTCGTCTCGCGCCGTGCGTACGGCGTGGTCTCAGGGCTTGTCGGCGCGGGCGGCAACGTGGGTGCCGCCATCACACAGGCCATCTGGTTCGCGGGCACGGCTTCTTGGCAGCAGAAGTGAGTTCTTGCTACTATTTGTCAGGACATTTTACGGGCTTAGTAGTTTCGCTTAGTCGTTTTGCTTAGTCGTTTCGCTTTTATTACTTCCTCTTTCTGCCCAAAGAACAATACATGAGACCCACCACCGGAAGTAGTTTTCAGTTTGTGTTCGCTTGAATTGCTGTCAAATGCTGTTACCGTGCTGCTCTCTGTCGCTTCCGTCATTTCCCATCAGGCTCGAGAAGAAGGACGGCTTCGTTTACATGGGCATCCAAGCGACCTGCCTGACGCTGGTGCTTTTCCTCATCCAGTTTCCCATGTGGGGCTCCATGTTGACCGGGCCCCGTGAGGGCGCTCAGGAGGAGGACTACTACCTGAGGGAGTGGAGCGCGGAGGAGGTGGCGCAGGGACTGCATCAGGGATCCATGCGGTTCGCCATGGAAAGCAAGTGAGTGATGTGATTTGTGACTTTTTATAAGCTAGTTCGAGTTTTGGATTATATTTGGCGTGGAGTCAGCACGGAGAGATCTTTGTTCGCGCATCTTTCCCCTCGCGGTTGCTTAAATAGCTTTTATCGCCCTGTAATAAAACGAAGGGAGCCCTGAAAAGTCCAGATTTGACCAATAAACATATGTATACTTCACGATATTAATCACACCTTACCCAACCCGCTTCTCAGGTCGCAGCGGGGCTACCGGGATCGCTCTGTAGTTGCTGCATCGAACGGCAACGTTCAAGAGCCTACAGCTATCAAGACAACGCCGTCATAGTGGTTGTGCTGTATCGATATCTTTGCGCAGACTTGTGAGCGCGGCTGGGTATGTTCGAGCCGAGCGGAAAATAATTGTTTACGTTGAAAATACACAGTTTCATGTTGCGATTTAAAACGTGTTTATCTTCGTCTTCTTGAAACATTTCCTTCCCAAGCGAAGAAGCTACGGTGACCATTTAGACCTTGTGCAAAAGCGTTTGTATCTCAGTCTTTCTACTGGCGCGATGTATTTGGATGTCGTTTGCCGTGTGTATGAGTTGGTGCCTGCATCCTGGGCTCGAGAGCAGCGTAGAGTGGTGTTTACAACTGCAGGTGTACGAGTAGGTTTAAGAGCGGAAAAGAGTCCCTTAGGTGGTTATAGATGTTGCAGATTATAGAGATGCATAGCGCATGGATGTGCAGGTACTGTAGGTAGGTTGAGGGACGAGGAGCGAAGAAGGCTACTCTGAGGGGCTAGGGCGATATCGCTGACTGGAGAGACAAGAGCGCGCAGGGATAGGGGCGTTGCCCATTCCTATGTGATCGCGGATATTTGACAATTCAAAAGTTAGGTAACACGTGCTCAGCATATTGCGACGTATACGAGTGCGAGTACGAGTAAGTTTAGATAGCCAAAACTACTGCTCGTTTTGCTGCTTGTTTTAGTATTGCGCCTCGGTATGCGTTGCATACTTCGGGACCTGTTTTGGCAGCAGCACATCAACATACGATCTGTCTGCGATGTGGCGATGATGTAAAATGCCCCGTGACTGTGCGTGACTGCGGCCGTTGTTGGCCGAGTGCCTGGTGCCTTGTTGACGTCGTACTCTGAAACTAAATCATGCTAAGTCCGGCTCTTGTGTGTGTTAGCGGTGTTAGTGTATGTGTCTCTCGATTTTGATTAAAAAAGTAGCAATGCGATGAAGATGTGCATGTGTGCTACCTATCTGTTCACTCCGATATTAGCCCGCTATGCGTCCAGCTAAGGTTTTACGCCATCCAAAGAACTGCTGGTATATGACTGTATAGACGTTGGCATACGTGGCGCTTAACGATGCTGTAATCGGTCGGCTTGAGAGCAGCGAGCGTGACGGTCTCCATCCGCGTGCGGAGGTGCAACAGTGGGGATGTGCTGTAATGGACGCGTTGTCGGTTTTCATGCCTGCAACTCCTAAATGATTGTTTCTCTGATCTGCATTGAAATATCGAGGGATAGGGTTTAATCACCTGTAACTGATAGATACTGCAGAAGTTTTAAATACTTTGGGCCTGACGGCTGAAACGTGAGAAACGAAGCGGTACGTATGACAATTGGGGCGGGGTGTTGTTCGCGGGGTGTTGCAGACACAATGTTCTTTCATTGCTGGTTTGGATCCGGGGGAGGCGAGCTAGAGAGCGTGGGTGTGCACAGGTCGGCTGTAGGCACGCGCTTGGCCGGTCATGCAATCATCCGAGATACGTGTGTCAAGCGCATTCTTCCTGATGTTGACAACTGTTGCAACTGGGAAGCCATGGCCATCACTGGAAACAGAGCATAAGTGCAAGTACCCATGCGTGATGTATGGCCGCGAACGTTGGTAGGCCCAGTAGGCCCACCTCATAAAACGCATAAACACGCGCTACTTTACGTTAAGGGCTATCGAGAAACTCCATGAGGTTATGCCTTGGAACCCTCAGATTTTCAACGCAGCTGGTCAACTCGTGCTTCCTTCATGAATGTCTGCTTCATGCATACGGACAACCTGCCGAGCGATGCAGTATGACTCGATAGGCTCAGAATTTAGACAGGTTTCCATCACATGCATCTGTTACTTCTGCTATGTGGCCAGCTCGACTTGAACCAGAAGGGTCGCGCGTAGTTTCAGTTTCAACGTTAATTTGGCTTTGGCGACTTCAGTTGCAAGCGTGTAACACTATTAACATAAGAAATTCCGGAAACAAATATGAGAGAATATCTTTCTCCAGCTTTAGCGCTTGGTCTGCCTGGGGAAGGAGTGCACAGAAGCGACTCCATGTTGGCAGATATGTTGCCAGAGCAGTAGTAAACATGCCACATGATGATTTAATCGCTATCTACCGTAATTAAGTAATGTATGCACGAATCTGCAAGGCAAAACCTTATTCGGGCCCAACCTCAGTTCGTTCTCCCAGCCTAATGGAAATTATAAATCAATTGGGTGCATAATGCTTAATCACATTAAAATGATAAAAGCACATTTTAAGCGTAGTAGCCACCAGAACCGTAAGATTAGGCGCTGACTGAGGTCCTAGCAATTGGTCTTTCACTATGGATATACTCTAAAAGAAGGCATGAGCTGTGACCTGGCCTTGGCAGAGGCCCCTGATTGGAACCAACCATTTGGCCCTTTCAGCGAACGTACACGTACGGAAAGCTCGTGGCCCAACGACCCTTCCGTGGGGTGCAGCCCTGGCTGCCGTATGAGCAAATGTCAGATCAGTAATATAAGGTTGAGGCGCTTGAGACAGAGAACTACAAAAAATTTCCCCTCATATATTTGTAAGCCATTGTGAACCCTGACCAGGTGTGCTCACCCGCAGCGATATATACTTATGTAACTTTTGTTTTAGTTGTGGACTGATGCCGAAACATGCATTTTGATGGTCCAGAAGCGCCTGTTTTCTTTTCTTGAGTTAACTTGCACACAGTCAATACGACTCATCGAATCCTTGCATCACGTGCCTCCAAATCCTCCCAACAGGCACATCTACAACCTCTGGTCCTCCAGGAGTAAACGTGTTACGCATCAACTTCCGACCCGAAAGGCAACACGCAATCATGCAGACCATGCAGTCGCAGTCGCTGTCCCGCCGCACCTGCACCCGTACTCTTGGCCGCGGCCTCGTCACCCCTGTCCTGGCAACCGCGGCACCGGCTTCAGCAGCGCAAGCGGCCGATGGCATCAACGCGCATAGCGGGCTGAAGCACCTGCCAGAGGCTGCTCGCGTTCGCGCTCTCGACCGCAAGGCCAATAAGTTTGAGAAGGTCAAGGTTGAGAAGTGCGGATCACGCGCATGGACAGATGTCTTCGAGCTGTCACGGCTGCTGAAAGAGGGAAACACCAAGTGGGAGGATTTGGATTTGGACGACATAGACATCCGCATGAAGTGGGCGGGCCTGTTCCATCGCGGAAAGCGCACGCCCGGCAAGTTCATGATGCGCCTCAAGGTACGTGTTCTTGTTAAATACTTCGAACCTACGAATGACGTATGTGAGTAGCACGGCATCACATCATGTTTCGGCGGCAAGGAAATCACCAAGGTGCCATGTGAAACATGTACGAGTGAGGGCGGGGAAGAGAGGGAGAAGTACCGTTGAACACCTACTTTGTGTCTTTGTGCATTATTAGGAAAAGAGATTCTTAGGGTTTTAGCTTAAGCCCTAATGATTATCTAATCCGTGTGGCGATCTTCATATGTCCGTATGTCACAAAGAACACCAACCCACCATATGGCGCCCACAGGTTCCCAACGGCGAGCTGGATGCCCGCCAGCTGCGCTTCCTCGCCTCGGCAATCGCGCCATACGGCGCCGACGGCTGCGCCGACATCACCACGCGCGCCAACATCCAGCTCCGAGGCGTGACGCTGGCGGACGCCGACGCCATCATTCGCGGTCTTTGGGACGTTGGCCTCACGTCCTTCCAGAGCGGTATGGACAGCGTACGGAACTTGACGGGCAACCCCATCGCGGGTGTGGACCCCCATGAGCTCATAGATACCCGTCCGCTGCTGCGGGAAATGGAGGCCATGCTGTTCAACAACGGCAAGGTGAGGATCTTTTCAGCAGAGGTTTAACCTTGCTGAGTTTAAATTAGGTCAAGGAAGTTTGTGGGATAAGCGTGTTGTGCATGTGTGTTAGGAGGAAGGGATATGTGGAATGGGCCCGAATAATTTGTCGACGTCGATTTCGGCCTACTCGCAGATTTACAAGGTTTCCTTTTTCTAACTAAATCCCCTCGTTTTCTCCCCACGCTCCCTGTCCTGCACCTCACTCATCTTCCCCACTCAGGGCCGCGAGGAGTTTGCGAACCTGCCTCGCAAGCTCAACATCTGCATTTCCTCAACCCGCGACGACTTCCCGCACACGCACATCAACGACGTGGGCTTCGAAGCGGTGCGCCGCCCCGATGATGGCGAGGTAGGTGTGGGTAGGTGTGGGAGCATGGGTGCCGTGCATGGGTGCATGCGTTCGCGTCCGAGCAGACTGTGTGCGATGATCAACCCAGCCTAACCCAAATCATTCCACCCACATCACCCCGCCAACTACCTAACCACCCAACCGTCATGTCCTCTTCCACCTTCAGGTGGTGTTCAATGTGGTCGTTGGCGGCTTCTTCTCCATCAAGCGCAACGTTATGTCCATCCCTCTTGGCTGCTCTGTCACTCAAGACCAGCTGATGCCCTTCACGGAGGCTCTGCTGCGGGTGTTCCGCGACCACGGGCCCCGCGGGGACCGCCAGCAGACTCGCCTGATGTGGATGGTAGATGCGATTGGCGTGGAGAAGTTCCGCCAGCTGCTTTCGGAGTACATGGGCGGCGCGGAGCTGGCGCCGCCGGTGCACGTGAGTGTGTCTGTGTGTGTGACTGTGTGCTTATGTGTGTTTATGTGTTTTTTTGTGCGTGTTCGGACTACAGGAAGTACCAGCGCTACCTGTCATTACATTCCATTTGTCAATTTCAAAACCGTCTAAGTCAAGTCGCTCCAACCGTCCAACCGCTGTGTGCAGGTGCATCACGAGGGGCCCTGGGAGCGCCGTGACGTGCTGGGTGTGCACCCCCAGAAGCAGCCGGGGCTGAATTGGGTGGGCGCCTGTGTTCCGGCTGGCAGGCTGCAGGTGAGGAGCAGCTCACGGAGCTGATGAGGAAGGGAGAGAAAGGGGCGTTGTTTGACCCACTTTATCTAGAAGCCAGGCCTGTGCGCAGCTGGTCTACATCTGTATATCTCTCTGTTTTGCATCGAAGATCCCGCTCCCTCCGCTCATTTTCTTGCTGGCCCGCACCTTGATTCCAAGGCTGCCGACTTTGACGAGTTCGCCCGCATCGCGGAGACGTACGGCGACGGCACCGTACGGATCACGTGCGAGGAGAACGTGATCTTTACCAACGTCCCCGACGCCAAGCTGCCGGACATGCTTGCTGAGCCCCTGTTCCAGCGCTTCAAAGTCAATCCGGGGCTGCTGCTCCGGGGGCTTGTGTCCTGCACGGGTAAGAGCAGTCGCGAAGCAAACGCCACTTTTACCCCTGGCTATTTTTGCCTGAGCTCCTCCATTGCCCGAGCTGCACTGCGGTGCCCTCCTGCTCCGCTCTGTGCGATGATTTATCTCCTGTCTGTTTGTCTGTATGTCTGTGCTACTGTCTGTGAGATAGGATAACTCAATTACAAGGCCCGCCACTGCGCGCATCTGCGTAATTTCGCGTCCGGTGTACTCCACTGTCCGCTTGTTGCCGATTACCAGGCAACCAGTTTTGCGGCTTCGGTCTGGCGGAGACAAAGGCGCGGGCGGTCAAGGTAGTTGAGATGCTGGAGGAGCAGTTGGAGCTCACCCGGCCTGTCAGGATCCACTTCACCGGATGCCCCAACAGTTGCGGCCAAGCGCAGGTGGGATGGTGCGGCGAATGTGTGCTAAACGTTTTCGTGTCCTGAACGTTTCCCACCTTCCTGGTTTCTTTTCCTTTTGCTAGGCTTCCATCTGATACACCTTTTCCCAGAAACGAAGAAGAGCTCAAGTTTCTTTTTCTTGTCGTTTCGTTTTGTTGCTGTTGCTGTTTTTGGTGAGCAGGTTGGCGACATTGGGTTAATGGGAGCCCCCGCCAAGCTGGATGGCAAGGCGGTGGAGGGCTACAAGATCTTTTTGGGCGGGAAGATTGGGGAGAACCCGCAGCTGGCCACGGAATTCGCTCAAGGGATCCCGGCTGTGGAGTCTCATCTGGTGCCCAAACTCAAGGAGATCCTTATTAAGGAGTTTGGTGCCAAGGAAAAGGAGACTGCCGTTGTCGTCTAAATAGGCGTCGTTGCGTAATTAGGTGCTTATAACGGAGAAGGGGGAATGATAGCTTGGTGTAAGTGTTACATAGGATTGGGGAGGGAGTGGTAGGCACGGGTTTGATGCGTGATATACTACATGTGACCTGATGTCGTATTTTGCATACAAGTATCTTGTCCGGCGCTTCTCATGCGTGTGCGTGTCTGTTTGTTCTGTTTCGGCTAGCAGGGCGGCCAAGTCGTTTATGTTCGGGGATTCCTACTACGGGCGCAATTGCAATGATAAAAGAAGGATGCGTGTCTTGTCTGGGGCCTGTGAATCACTCCTTCCGATATGCCGCGACGTTTGCTGTGCGCGCGGCGTGCAGGTCAGGGTTTGTCGATAGGTAGCGTTTGCACGTCGCGTCCGTGAGTATCTATATCAGAGCAGCTTGCGCATGTATGTGTTAACCAAGTTTTTTTTATTGGCGTGGGAACTGTGCTCCCGGGCGAATTATGCTCGCCAGCGCTGCCGGTGGTCTGTGATTGATTAGGCATTGGTCATCTGTATCCATTCGACTTATCAGACTTATCATGTCTCGCGATCGGATGTTGTGCTGCCTTGTTCCATTCTTTTGCACATCCGTTGTGTCGATGGCGTGGGAAGATGCCGAGGCTACGATGAAGAGTGTAGATAGAGGGTCGCGTTCGTGGTGATGGTGCCGCACAGACAGCTTAGGGCCCTTACGTACTGAGTTTAATATGAAATTGATGGAGATGTATAATCATGGTTACTACTGAACCCACTATTGCGCAGCTAGACGCTGCACACCAGGAACGTACGGCGGCTGCGGAACCGCATTATTGTCGGTCTGTAATACATTGTTGCTCCAGTGCTGAGCATCATACAAGTTCAAGCTCATTGCTTCTTCGTTGCTGCTTCATCGGAAAGCCGCCGGACCGGGCGTCTGTGCAGTCATGTCGCAATGTGGAGTAACATGCATATGACACATGCCTTACCCCAAATGCCATATTGCCTATGTGTGTAACAACCACACACACATATTGCCTATGTGTGATGTGGTGGGGCCAATGTGAAGGTAACTACGCGCTTGCGGGTGGACCTGACGTATCCTGTAAATGCTGAGGCAAATCCTGGCTACCTGTTGCTGCACATATGTGTACATACGTGTACATATAACCACACACCTAATCAACGCTCAATTCCGCCGATATGCCGCCTACCGACCACTATGGGAAATTGGTCCGTGGGGATCGCCGCTTCGACAGGGGCCCATTACAGCACCAAGGTGTCCCGTTGGCCCATGACTAAGGCCCACGAAGAGCCCGACATCCCAACTTTCCTTTCCCTACACTGCTCTGAAGAGGATCGGCAAGGACGACTAATAGTAGCGCCAAAATCCGTGAGGCTGCCAGCTGGCAAAAGACTATGACCAAAATACGCATGCTTTATGCCATTAAGCTCCTATCAGATCAATATCAGACACTGTCTATAACTGCTATTGCCACTGCCACTGCGGCTGCTTCTGCTTCTGCAAAGGAGAAATGGGGTCTATAGTCGTCTGTAAGTTATTATTTGAGACGGGTTGCATTAAGCAGCACTGTGGTGGTCGTCTATGGTCACGTGTGGTTGTCAGCGCAGCTATACCGCATGAGGTCAACGTCGAGTCCATCAAGTCAAAGGGCGGTCAACGCACCTCACCCTCATTACAGAAAACGCAACAGCGCGCGCACCGCCCGGAGCCATCTATATACAGATTTGGGTAGAAGTCTGGCTACTTGATGCTCCGATGTTGTTTCACGAAACTGTGGGCCTCGCATCGCTTACTTAAATGATCTAGTTTAAACTATCGGGCGACACGTGAATTCGGTATGTGGAGCGATTTTCCATACATAACGGCGTTTACTCAATCTGCAGAGTTGAGCCTACAGCCTAGGAGGTAGGCGCCGGGCTATAAATTCGCCACTTTCTCGGTTGCTGGTTGTTCGCGCCGTTGGGGTGCAGGTTTTTGAGGTTGGAATAGCGTAAATCGATTGTAACAGATAACTGATATTGTTAAAATGATTCCCATTATGGATCAATTTTCTCTAAAACGGGGCGTGCAGCGACAATCGGTTGTCCGGCCCTTTTAAAGGGGCGCTTCTAGTACAGGCCCTTTTCGCAGCCCCCCAAAGCGTTCATGCACATTTCATACTTGGGCATTTGTGCTAACATTTTATGCATCATCCACTTGTTCTATCGCACGGCGAGATTCTTGAAATACCGTTAACAACACGTAATTGGTCTGTGGAAAACGAGGACTAGTTTCTATTCAACTTAAGTACATAATGATGTCGCAAACTTGCCGGCAACAAGTTCTACTGGGAAGGTGTCCAGCGATCCCTTGCGCGCCAGCCCTAACCGTCCGGCGATGGGCTTCCCACCACGTTTGCCGAGTAGCCAGCGCCACGCCGTCAACCACCCAAACATCAAACAATGGGAGTCATGCACCAGCGCCAGGCGTTGTGCTTGCCCCCGAAGCGCCTCCGCCCCCACCTCCGGGCGTCCTGGCTCCATTGGCCGCATACAACAATATCGTCAACCTCGGAGTTGCCAAGGCAGCCATGCCCGCTTGGAAGACCCTAATCATGGGCGTTATGGCGGGCTGCTATATTAGCTTCGGCGGCTTCCTCGCCATCACTATTGCGGGCATGTGCGCAGGTACAGACGCAACTTCCATTCTTACAATCCTTCCCTTGCCTGCCAGCACTTTTAGCTTTGACTCGTCTTTTTATTCTTCGGTCAGCTGCATGCGAACCTTACATTGAGGCATTAAGAAAGATACGGCAAAGATACGGCCCTGTGCCCTGCCGCGGCATGTTTCACGATGTTTATGTTTTCAACCTGCCGCCGCAGACGCCTGCAGGATTTGGCAGGCTGTATGTGTGCGTGCGTGTGTGTGTTTGCATTTACCCCCGCGCCGTGTAAACGCATATCTATACACGCCATCGCCAAAAGTGGCAACGCCCTAAGGCGCAGTCCGCGACACCGCGAGCGGGTGCGTGACTCAACACAACCTCCCCCCCACACAAGGCCTGCTGTACCGCCTATCTCCCGAATCCCCGAACTTCGTGCCTTCCTTACGATGAATTCAACAACCGTCTCCACCGGGGCCCCCACGGACTCGCTCGTCCAGGCCTGGGCGTAACCAATCCCGTCCTCACGCGCCTGGCCATGGGGGCTCTGTTTCCCTTCGGCCTGCTCATCACCTTGGTGTGCGGCGCGGAGCTCTACACGGGGAACACCGCCTTGGTGACGGCGGCGGTTCTGGAGAAAAAAGCTGATGTCAAGGTACGGCATCGTCGTACATACAACCTTATTTGCACTGTAGTAGTACTGTGTAACGTAGTACGGTATGATCCAGAATTGCAACTTTTTGAATGCCGTCACCGTCGTTCCTAGAAATGGCCGCTGAAGTCTGTGAGAAGCCCCAAAACCCTTCCTGCACATCCACCTTGACCTGCGGTATCTCATTTTTTGAAAAAATAGGATCTGGCCAAGAACTGGATCTGGTCGTACGTTGGGAATCTGATTGGCAGCTTGCTGATGGTCGCGCTTGTGGCAGCTTCTGGACTGCTCGCGGCGTCCCCCGTGCCGGCCAACATGGCGGTTGCGAAAACGGCCATTCCCTTTGGCCAGGTAGGTATGTAGGCGTGAAGGCGTGGAGGGTCCGCCGCTTGGGCGCCACCACCAGTGCCGCCCGCAACCCCCCCACACCCACTGAGTCACTGTGCAGGCCTGTTCCCTCCGCGCTTACGTACATACAAACACACACGCACAAAGGCACGTATACACACGCACGCACGGAAACCTGTTTCCGGCAGACCTAACAGCGCATTATGACGTTTTCCGTTTAACTTCGGTAACCTTGAGAACCCGTATATATGTGCATACCCGTTACACGTGTACATACATACATACATACATACATACATACATACATACATACATACATACATACATACATACATACATACATACATACATACATACGTGCGCGCATACCCATCCCCCAGGCGGTCGTACGTGGCGTGTTGTGCAACTGGCTGGTGTGCTCCGCCGTGTGGATGGCCTCCGCCGCCACCTCCCTACCGGGCAAGATGCTGGCGGCGTACCTCCCCGTCATGGCCTTCATTGCACTGGGACTGGAGCACTCGGTGGCGAACATGTGAGTCCCGCGCGTGTGTGTATGTGTATGTGTATGTGTATGTGTATGTGTATGTGTATGTGTGTCTATACGCGTATGTGTGTGTTGGTATGTGTGTGTCTGTACGTGTGTATATGCACTGCTTGATGCTTGAACGTGATGACGTTTAATATGTTCCTCTGCTCTGCTTGAAACCCTTCAACTGTCCAGATGTGTCTGTCTGTGAATATGTCTGAATATGTCTGTGAATATGTCTGTGAATATGTCTGTGAATATGTCTGTGAATATGTCTGTGAATATGTCTGTGAATATGTCTGTGAGTATGTCTGTGAATGCTTTTAGTGAGGGAGGCCACGCTCCCCCACATCCTCTCCCCTTCCGTCGCCCTTTCGTTTTTGTTTCCTATGCCTCGAGCCCTCGCCCGCCGCTCAGCTGCCGCCCGCATCCCCCCGTGAAGCGTGTGTGTTTTTAT